TGCATATTGCAATCTGGCTCCATTACCATCAATTTACACTATTAAATGGTCCCTGTGCCAAGCAGTAGGTCAGGGGGCCTGTTCCTCATGGAGCTGTGCGCGCAGACGGGCTGGGTCCGAGGGGGGCCAAGAGGCTTGGTCTGGCTGACAATGCTACTGATGCGCTGGCCCAAATCTGGCTCGATTACCATCAAGGTGTACTATTATATGGTCCCTGTGCCAAGCAGTAGGTCAGTAGCCCTGTTCCTCATGGAGCTGTGCGCGCAGACGGGTTGGGTTCGAGGGGGGCCAACAGGCTTGGTCTGGCTGACAACGATACTGATGCGCTGCCCAAATCTGGCTCCATTACCATCAAGGTATACTATTAAATGGTCCCTGTGCCAAGCAGTAGGTTAGTAGCCCTGTTCCTCATGGAGCTGTGCTCGCAGACGGGCTGGGTCCGAGGGGGGCCGAGAGGCTTGGTCTGGCTGAGGATGCTACTGATGCGCTGGCCCAAATCTGGCTCCATTACCATCAAGGTATACTATTGTATGGTCCCTGTGCCAAGCGGTAGGTCAGTAGCCCTGTTCCTCATGGAGCTGTGCGCGCAGACGGGTCGGGTCCGAGTGGGGCCGAGAGGCTTGGTCTGGCTGACAATGCTCTTGATGCGCTGGCCCAAATCTGGCTCCATTACCATCAAGGTACACTATTAAATGGTCCCTGTGCCAAGTGGTAGGTCAGTAGCCCTGTTCCTCATGGAGCTGTGCGCGCAGACGGGTTGGGTCCGAGTGGGGCCGAGAGGCTTGGTCTGGCTGACAATGCTACTGATGCGCTGGCCCAAATCTGGCTCCATTACCATCAAGGTATACTATTGTATGGTCCCTGTGCCAAGCAGTAGGTCAGTAGCCCCGAGGATGCGCCGATCCGCCTTTGAGGCCACCAAGACAACCGCCGTCGTCTTCCGGCCCAAGCGCGGCACCGCCGGCGCAAGGACCGCCGCCGCCGCCGCCGCTGAGGCGCCGCCGGTTGTGCTTGACGGCGTCGAGCTCGCGTACGCCGACAAGATGACGATGCTCGGCGCGCGCATCGACGCCGAGCTCACCTTTGCCGCGCACCGCCGCACGTGCGTGAGTCGAGCGGCGCAGGCGGCGGGTGGCGTCGGCCTCCTCGCGCGAGCGCGAGTCGGCCTCTCGGCGCGGCACACGCGCGCCTTGGTGCGGGCGTGGGTGTACCCGAAGATGCTGTGGATGGCGGGGGTGTGGTGGGACAAGGGCGGGTCAGTCAAGGTGTTCGAGTCGGTGCAGCGGACGTGCGCCCGGCTCGTGACCGGCGGGTACAGCCTCTCGGCCCTCGCGGCGCTCGAGGTCGAGGCAGCGCTCCCGCCCGTCCAGCTCCTCCTCGACGCCGCCGTCCACCGCGTCGGGCTGCGCGCCTTGAGCGCGGCGCCGACCCACCCGCTCCACCCTCGAGTCGCGCGAGCGCGCGCCCACCTGCCGCAGCGGCCCGACCACCGCTCGCCGCTCCACCGCGCCCTTCACGGGTTCCCCGACACGCTCCCGCGCACCCTCGTCGTCGAGACGCTCCTGCCCGAGCCGGTCGCGCCGTGGGAGGCCGACCCGCTGCCGCCCGCCATCGTCGCCGAGAACAAGGACAAGGCGAAGGAGACGCACCTCGCGCTTCTTGATGGCCTTGGGCCGAGCGATCTTGTCGGCTACTCGGACGGCAGCCTCATTGATGGGCGAGCTGGCGCCGGGTGGGCGCTGCGAGCCGTGTTCCGCGGCGAGGAGCTGTGGCAGGAGAAGAGCGCCGCGCTCGGCGGTCAGCACACGGTGTATCGGGGCGAGCTTGAGGGGCTGCGCATGCTCCTCAGCAAGATGCGGACGCTGACCCCCTCGTCCACCCAGCCTTTCACCCTCCACCTCTGCCTCGACAACCAGGCGGCGGCGCTCCACCCCTCGTCACCTAGGCCCACCTCCGGGCAACCCGCTCGCCTCGAGATCCGCCGACTTGCGCGTGAGCTGAAGGAGACGCACCCGATGATGACCGTTGTCGTCTCGTGGGTGCCGGGCCACGCCGAGGTCGAGGGCAACAAGCGGGCCGACGCCCAGGCCAAGGTCGGGGCCGAGGTGGTCGAGGTCGAGGGCGGTGTGGGCGAGGGGCGGCAGCGGGGCCGCAAGTCGCGGCGGCACAGCATGGTGATGCCGCGTGGGGGCTCAGTCGAGCCGTCAGACGACGAGCGCGACGAGTGGTACGGGGGAGAGAGGGAGACGAGCCCCCAGGTCGAGTCGAACCAGCCCCCTCGGCCTCGCCTCCCCGCCCTCGTCAACCCTCCTGACGGCCTCGAGGACCTCCGCAGCGAGCCCAAGAGCATCGCGGCGGTCCAGCAGGCCTTCCACCAGGCGCAGCAGGCCGCGTGGGCGGCGAGTTGGGCGACGGCGCCCGCCGGCGCGGGACTTCGCAGCGTCACCGGCAAGGTCGCGCCTGGCGCCTCCTTCGCCCGGTACCACGCCACGCTCTCGCGCCGGCAGAGCACGCTGCTTGCCAGGCTGCGGCTCAACTTTGCCGGCCTCGCGGCGCACCTTCACCGCATCCAGCGCGACCCGACCGGCCTGTGCGAGTGCGGCGAGGAGGAGACTCGGGCCCACTTCCTCCTCGCCTGCCCCCTCTACGCCGCGCCTCGTGCTGCGCTCGTGCGTGCGACCGGCAAGGACGCCATGCCACCCCTCGCCACCCTCCTCACCGACCTTGCCCTCGCCCGCTCCGTCCTCAAGTTTGTCAACGACACCGGGCAGTTCCCTCGGCTGCACAGGGCGGTCAAGGACTCGGCGGGCACGGTCAAGCAGGGCGTCTAGGTGGACCTGAGGGACTCGGTGGACGTGTGGGAGGACATGGGAGGGAATTCCTCGTGCGCCCGACCGTTTCTCTCTGTCCGCTGCCCTCCTCCTCCTCCTCCTTGCCAAACCTCATCCGCCAACCTCTCGACAACTCCGTCATTTCTTGGTCTTTTTCTTTCGTTCTTCTTTCTTTCGACTCGTTATACCCTCCCCTACATCCCTGTACACCTTTCCGCCAACCTCAACATGACTTGACCACATCCACCTCCGGATTCCGCGCACGAGGCCGCTAGAGAGGACTACGAAGGCGCACACGCTCTCTCATGCGCATCCAGTCGTCTTGCGCCTGCATCGCCGAGACGGCTTGAGCCCTAGAGGCGACAAGAAGTCGTACGACATCGCTCTGCTGCGGCCGCCGAGGGTATGGCTTGCCCAGGGCCACGCTGCGACGACAGGCAGCGAGTGGATGCGCACGCCCGTGAGGAAGGCCCGCCCAGGTACCCACTGCCGGGAAGAGGGGGGGAGGGTGGTCAAGTCGGTGTCGAGGTTGGCGGAAAGGTGTACAGGGATGTAGAGGAGGGTATAACAAGTCAAGTCGAAAGAAAGAAGAATGAAAGAAAAAGACCGAGAAATGACGGAGTTGTCGCAAGGTTGGCGGATGAGGTTTGGCAAGGAGGAGGAGGAGGAGGGCAGCGGATAGAGAGAAACGGTCGGGCGCACGAGGAATTCCCTCCCATGTCCTCCCACACGTCCACCGAGTCCCTCAGGTCCACCTAGACGCCCTGCTTGACCGTGCCCGCCGAGTCCTTGACCGCCCTGTGCAGCCGAGGGAACCGCCCGGTGTCGTTGACAAACTTGAGGACGGAGCGGGCGAGGGCAAGGTCGGTGAGGAGGGTGGCGAGGGGTGGCATGGCGTCCTTGCCGGTCGCACGCACGAGCGCAGCACGAGGCGCGGCGTAGAGGGGGCAGGCAAGGAGGAAGTGGGCCCGAGTCTCCTCCTCGCCGCACTCGCACAGGCCGGTCGGGTCGCGCTGGATGCGGTGGAGGTGCGCCGCGAGGCCGGCAAAGTCGAGCCGCAGCCTGGCAAGCAGCGTGCTCTGCCGGCGCGAGAGCGTGGCGTGGTACTGGGTGAAGGAGGCGCCAGGCGCGACCTTGCCGGTGACTCAGCGGGACCATCCCCCCAAGGCTCGACCTTCTTCATCCTTCCAGCCGGCCGTGACGCGGTTGGATTGGGCTGCCCTTGCAGGGCAAAATAGAGTACAATACGCTCTAAATGGCTAGCTAGGTTAGAGGTTGAACTGAGCTCGTGGCCCAGCTCTGCAGAGGCAAACCTGTTCCGGGCGAGCCCAACCATCTCGGCCCTGGTCACCCAATCCAGGGGGCACAAGGTACTCAACAAGGTCCCAAATAGTGCCATAGAGTTACAGGGCCATTCACTTACAGGAACAAGGCCCGGCAGCCTCGGACCTTCCCACCCTTAGGTGTGACTACAAAACCGCTCGCCGCTCACTTGACCCTGATCAGCCCATCCAGGAGGCACAAGGTACTCAACAAGGTCCCAAATAGTGCCATAGAGTTACAGGGCCATTCACTTACAGGAACAAGGCCCGGCAGCCTCGGACCTTCCCACCCTTAGGTGTGACTACAAAACCGCTCGCCGCTCACTTGACCCTGATCAGCCCATCCAGGAGGCACAAGGGCTTCCCGTGACCCAAATCCAGAGTGAGGAGGTTTTGTGACGGGCCAAGTTGTAATCCAGCCTGAGGGGCTGGGGGTTTCATGCCGCCGCGCCTTGTTCCTGTAAGTGACCTGCCCTGTAACTCTACAACCCTAAGCTTCACCATGTGAACCATCTTGCCCCAACTGGACAGGCCCGTCGGAGGATGTTTTGTGACGGGCCAAATTGTAATTCAGCCTAAGGCGCTGGGGCCTTCATGCCGCCACGTGCTGGGCCTTAGGCCGGCTTAGGACTTGGGTTATGGAAATATCTCCTGGCAGGGGCTTGTCCAGTTGGTGGCAGGTCCATGAGAGGGTGAATGGTGGCGCTGGAGAGTTTCAGGGCAAGTCAGTTACAGGATCCAGGTGTGGGGGCCTCGGACATCCCAAGGACTCTCACCTTCTTAGCCTGAGGTAGGGTGACCTGGCCATGGCCCCTTCTCATCCCCTGCATGCTTTCAACAACTTTCATGGCAGAGAAGAAGCTCTCTCAGAGAGGAAAGTGCAGCCCTCGCCACAGACCTCCCCTCTCCTGAGCTTTCCTGTCCTCAGCTTTCCGCCGGCCGCTCTCGAACTCAAGTGCGTTCAGTGCGCTGAGTTGCATGTATTGGGACAGAGGGAGAGAGCTGACGTCGTCTTGATCCAGAGGGGGTGAGGTGAAAGGGTGGGGTGGAAAGAGGGGGCCACAGGAGAGAGGAAAACAAAGGGGAGGAGGGGGAGGAGGATGGTGGACCGATTAGTTGTAGAGGTTGAGGAGGGCCGGGTCCTCAATGAGCTTCTTGACGAGGACGAGGAAGGTGACAGCTGTGTAGGAGAGGCGTCAGGGACGGCTCGAAGAGAGAAGAGACGCCGCCGAGAAGAGAGGACGCACCCTCGCGACCGTCGATGATGCGGTGGTCTGCAGTGCAGGGGAGAAGCCGGTGTCAGTGCATGTCGACCGAGAAGGAGAGAGAGAGGGAGCGCAGGAGAGGAGCGTCGACGCACCGTACGTGAGCGCGACCGTCATGATGGGGCGCACGACAATCTTGCCATCCGAGTCGACCCACGGGCGCTGGTTGATGGCGTGCATGCCGAGGACGGCCGCTTGGGGCGTGTTGAGGATCGGGGTGCCCATGAGGCTGCCAAAGACGCCGCCGTTCGAGCTGTCGTCGCGGGCGGGAACGAGGGTCAGCGCGAGGAACCCCTCGACGTCTCCAACGAGCGCCCGACATCCACCGCGACACGAGGGACCTTGCGCCGCAAATGAGGGAGGGGGAGAAAGAGTGGACGGACATGGTAAAGGTGCCGCCGTTCATGTCCTCGAGGGTGAGCTTGCCGTCGCGCGCCTTCTTGCCGAGCGCGGCAATCTCGCGCTCGATCTCGACAAAGTTGAAGCCCTCGGCGTTGCGGAGGACGGGCGTGACGAGGCCCTTGGGCGTCGAGACGGCGACCGAGATGTCGGCGTAGTCGTGGTACACGAGGTCCGAGCCGTCGATCGACGCGTTGACGGCCGGCAGCTCGCGCAGCGCGACCGACGAGGCCTTGACGAACGCAGACATGAAGCCGAGCTTGACGCCGTGGTCCTTGAGGACCTGGTCCTTGTACTTGGACCGGAACGCCATGAGGGCCGACATGTCGATCTCGTTAAAGGTCGTCAGGGACGCGGCCGTGTTCTGCGCCTCCTTGAGGCGCTCGGCGATGCGCGAGCGCATGCGCGACATCTTGACCTGCACGGCGCCGCATGGGTGAGCGTGGAGCTCTCGAAGAGGGAACGAGAGAGGGAGAGCGGGACGCACGCGAGTCTCGTTGCGCGAGCCCTGCTTGGGGGGCGACTCGGGCGCCGTCTTGCCCTCCTGCTTCTTGGCCTGCTCGGGGACCTTGGGCGCCGGGGTGGCCGAGTCGGGCTTGCGGTACTCGGACTTGGGCTCCGGGTTGGCCTCCTCCTTCTTGGGCTGCTCCTTGGGCGCCGACGACGACGACTCGTCCTTCTTGGGCTCCTCCTTGGCCGAGGTCGCCTGGTCCTTCTCGGGCGAGTCGTCCTTCTTGGGCTCCTCCTTGGCTGTGAGAGGGTGGAACAAGGAAGACTGTCAGGGCGGGAGACGAGGAGGAGGAGAGGAGAGCGAGGGACGCACCTTCAGGCTTGGAGCCGCCAGCCTCGAGCTTGAACAGGTCCTGGCCAACCGTGACCGTGTCCTCCTCGTTGGCGAGGAGCTCGGTCAGGGTTCCTGCCCTGGGCGCGTTGACGGCAACGTCGATCTGGGTGCGTGACAGCGAGAGGTCAGCCGCAGGCCGCGGCATAGGTCGGGACGTGCGCGCGCGGGCGCGCAAGAGGGGGAGAGGGAGGGCAGGGGGCGCACCTTGTCCGTCTCGATGGTGGCAACCTCCTCGTCGGCCTCGACGTAGTCGCCCTTCTGCTTGAGCCACTGCTTGAGGGTGCCCTCGGTGATGGACTCTGCCATGGACGGGACCTTGACGATCTCGTCTGCGGGGAAGGGGCAAAGAGACGGCGGTCAGCATCCAGCCTCCTTCTACACGGCGACGCTTCATGCTGCCCGACGCGCAAGGAGGAGCCGCGACGAGGTGAGGGGAACGGAGTGACGAACCGAGAGAGAGGGGCGAGGCATGGAAGGAGCGGGCGAGGGCAGGGCTGCGTGAATATGCACGAGTCAGTCAAGGCGGCCCACACGAACACAGAGACGAGGGCAGGGGAGCTGGACGCACAGTGCGAGGCGGGGAGACTGAGTGCGGGCAGAGCCGGCGAGGGCGCTGCGGGCGAGCGCCGGCGCGGCGGTCGAGGCGAGGCAGCGCGCGGTGCGGGCAAGGGCCCTAGGGGCGGTGGCACGAACGGCAAGCATGCTCGAGGCGGGGAGTCTAGCGGCGGAGGCGGGGAGGAACAGCGAGAGGAGCGAGGAGAGCGCCGGAGCTCGCAACGACGACGACGGACCCTCGGCCTCTGTCCTCCTCCACACAGCGCAGCAGGCCATGGACTCGTCCCAGGAGTCGTTCGTCGTCGTGTCGCCACACCACCCGGCGCACCTCCCCGCCCACCTCGCCCGCTTCTTCCCCTCGCTCAACGACACCGACTCGCTCCCGCCGTCCCTCTACGACCTCGCACAGCGGGTCGAGCAGCAGCGCACCCGCCAGCCCGACCACAAGCTCTTCATCGACCACCTCGTCGCCCTCGCCCTCCCCGACCTCGACGACGCCCACCGCCCCTCGTACCCGCACGAGGTCGCCTCGCTCGTGTCGCGCCTCGCCGCCGCAGGGCCGTCCCCCGTCGCGCGCTCGAGCCTGTACTACCTCGCCCTCGCCCTGTCCGGCCCGGACCTCGCGCGCGACCTCGCCCTCGACCTCGTCCTCCCCGTCCCCTTCCGCCTCGCGACCCGCGCCCTGTTCCTCGTCGACTCGGGCCAGTACGCCCTCGCCCTGCGCCACCTCGCCGACCCGCGCGTCCAGGCCGACTTTGTCCCGCGCACGTTTGCCGTCCTCGCCTCGGCGCCCGACGACCCCAAGGACCGCGCCCAGCTCGTCCTCGGCTACTGGCGCCTCGCGCGCATCCGCCTCGACGACTACTCGAGCGCCGAGTGCAAGCACGTCCTGCGCGCCCTGTGTGCGCCCGAGCGCCTGCGCGGCGTCCACGAGGCGTGGCAGCTCGCCCGCACCTGGCCCGTCGAGGCCGAGCGGGACCAGCTCGCGGCCACCGTCCTCGAGACGTGCTTTGGCGGCACGTCCCCTCGCTTGCCTCTCCGTCCAGCAGACACACACTGATGCACCGTCTCTCCCCCCCTCGCGCAGCCAACCGCACGGGCCTCCCGGTCTCGGCGCACCTGTCGGCCCTCATGGTCGTCCCCTTCACCTCGTCCGAGGACGCCCTCGCGTCGCGCTTCTGCGCCGCGCCCACCTCGCCCCTCAGCCTCACCCTCACCGTCGACTGGCGCCTGTCCAAGCTCGTCGCCGAGGCGCGCCCCGTCGACGCGCTCCGGTTCTACTCGCGCGTCCGGACCGACCAGGGCGACAAGCTCGCAAAGAGCGACGCGCGCGACCGCCTCCTCAAGGCCGTCGAGGCCAACTTGAGCGACGCGCAGCGCTCGACGCTCGAGCTCGACCTGTCGCAGCCGCCGGCGCCGGCGCCCGCACCGACCACCGCCGCCGCCGTGCCCGCGCGGCAGCAGGTCACGCACCCGGCCTGGGCGCCCTCGGCGCCTCCTGCCCCCCGGCAGCAGCAGCAGCAGCAGCCGGCGCCCTCGACGCCCGCCGCGCCGCCTCGCACGCTCGCCGCCGCCCGGGCCGCTCAGCGCCCAGCTCCGCCGCCCGCCGCCCCGACCGCCGACGAGCTCCCGCTCTCGGCGAGCCCGTTCGTGCGCGCCTCCGCCGCGGCAGGCGGCGGCGCCCAGGGCGGGCTCCTGCGCGCGCTCGAGCACGCGCACACGGGCCTCGCGACGCCGCGCAAACTTGCGCCCTCGGCGGCGGGCGTCGCGCCCGGCTCGCCGTTCACGCAGGCGCAGGCGCCGACGCCTGCTCGTGCGAGTGCGCTCGTCGCCGCCGAGCAGCAGCAGCAGGTGCAGGCGTCGCCGAGGCCGACGCTTGCGGGTTTTGGCTCGGTGCGCCAGGTCCCGCTCACGACGAGCGCGCTCGCGTCGCCGGCGCCGAGCCGGGTCGGGGCCGCGGGCCGCACGCCGGCGCGCATCACGGCCGCCGTCGAGGACAAGGACGCCGACGAGGACGACGAGATGCGCTCGCCGACCGCGCAGGACGAGCCGCGCGACCGGGCCGCCCAGCGCACCAAGGCCGCCGGCTCGGGCACGGCCGCTTCTCCCGCTCGTCGCGCAGCTAGCGGCGCCGGCAAGGGCAGCGAGCCGACCAAGCGCCGCGCCGTTGCGCGCCGCCCGCCGCACGACGGCGAGGTCGACGCCAAGCGCAGCAGCACGCGCACCGTCGTCAAGCAGCAGCAGCAGATGAGCCGAGCTGCCAAGCCGCCCGGCGCGTTCCCCTCGTCGTCGGCTGCGTCGACCGGCGAGGACGACACGCAGGACGAGGCGGACGACGAGCCTGCGCCGGCGCCGGCCCCAGTCGCGCCGCAAGCAGGCCGCCACCGTCGCACAGACGCCGCGCCGCCGCTCGGCGCGCGCGAGCGCCGCGGCGTCGTCGCGCGCCGGGACCGCCGAGCCGGCGTCGCCTCCTGCTGCGCCCGCTCCGACTGCCGCGACGACGACGGGCCGCCGGGCGACGCGCGCGACGTCGGCGACGCCGTCTGAGCCGGAGCGTGCGGCACAGCAGACGCCCGTGCGGCGCTCGTCGAGGCTGAGCGGGCTCGGTGCGAGTGCTGGAGGAGGAGGGTCGGGCACGGCGAGGCGTCCGACGAGGGGTGCGGCGAGGGGCAAGGGCAGGATCGAGGAGGAGAGCAACGAGTGAGCTCGTCATGTCGCAGGCACGAGTGCAATAACGACGACCGTAGTCTCTCTCTCGGTCCCGAGTTCTCGCGGCCTGAGCGACTCTCGAGAGACGAGCCGACTGAGGGCGCAAAAAATGCTACAGATACCGCGACAGGAGTACAGAGACGGCGCGTGGACATGACAGCTCGTGAGACACAAGGCGAGAGAAGGGAGAGAATCACTGCGTACGACCAGGCGAGAGTGTGAGCAACCGCTCGGCGAGATGTCGTGGGGGACGGAGGGAGAAAGAGGCGCGCGCACCTGCAGAGGCTCCGAGCTTTGGCTGAGGCGGCTCAAGTGGATGTAGCAGTCGGTGCCGTACCTGCGAGCGTCGAGAGTGTCAGTACGGCGTCGCTCGAGAGTCGCTCGAGGTGGTGGACGCACCCTTCCATCGAGATGAGCTTGAGGTTGCCGCCAAAGTACTGCGCGTACAGGCGGGCGATCGGCAAGCCGTAGCCTGCGAAGGCACGTTCAACGAGTCAGTGAGGTGCCCAGAAGAGGAAGACGGGCGAGGCGAGGACGCACCAAAGCCCGCCATCGGCGCCTTGAAGTCGGTGCCCTGGAAGTCCTGGTCGAGGTTCTCCGGGTTGGCGGTCGTGTACCTGCAGGTGCGACAACGTCAGTGTCCAGGCTCGAAGAAAGAAAGAGGGGAGCGAGTCGACGCACATCCAGGTCCAGACGAGCGGTAGAGCGCTGCGAGGGATGCCGCCTCCCTCGTCCGAGATCTTGATCGTGATGTCCTGAGGGGCGAGGATGGTCAGTTCTGCTTCTCCTCCTCCTCCTCGAGCTCGACGGAAACGCAAGGCGCACCTCGTTGCCCTCGGCGACGATCACCTTGACGGGGGGATAGTTCTCGCAGTCGACGCCGTGCGTCTCGACGACGGCGCGCAGCGAGTTCTTGAGCACCTCGAACAGGACGTGGTTCTGCGGGGCGGCGCTCGTCAGGCTCGTCGCGACGAGAGGTGACGGAGAAAGAGGAAAAGGCAGGACTCACGAGATGGCTCGGCACGTACATGAAGTTGAGGTCCTTGGGGCAGATGAGCTGGACGGGCGGGCCCTTGAACAGGCCGTAGTGCTCCTCGCACACGTAGGTCGCGTTCTCGATCGCCTCGCGCGCAATCTGGTGGACGTTGGTGCGCGTGCAGATGATGCCGACTGTGCGACGGGAAGGGCAAAGAGAGTCAGCATGCGCCTCGAGGGAGCAGAGCAGGCTCGAGCGCGCTCGGGACGCACCGTAGTCCTGCGAGGGGGTGCTGCGTGTCAGTCACGATAAATGAAAGAGAGTAGAGCGAAAGAGAGACGCACCTCGTGCGGTTCGAGGCGGTTGAGGGCGATGTGCTGGCCAATGAGGACGCGGATACCTGTCGCCCGCGCACGGTCCTCGTCAGTGATGACTCGGCGACAAAGCGCCTTTGAAGAGAGAAGAGGAGTGGACGGACCGATGCGGGACATGTAGAAGCGGTCGAGGAACGTCTGGATCGAGCGGTCGATGTGGGCGCTCTGGCGGTCGCGCTTGAACTCGAGGATGCCCTGGGCGACCGTCGTCACGACCGGGTCGTGTCGCCGCTTGATGCTGCTCAGGACGCGCGTAAACTTGTCGTTGTAGTCGTGCACCTCGGGTGGCCACACGATCGTCTCGTCCGGGTTCGAGTAGTACCTGCGCATGCGGTAGCTGGTCAGGTCGCCGTTCGTGCGAGAGGAAGAGGCGAACAAGGGACGCACCGGTGCAGCGGCATCTTCTGTCGACCCTGCTTGCTCTTGAGCTGGTTGGCGCGAGGCTTCATGTGCTCGGGGAGGGAAGGATTGGGTTTAGGCTCGGGGATGCTCTCCGACTCCTGTGAGGCGCGCAGGAGCGCCTCGGTGAGGTTGGACGGCAGTTCGGGACGAGGAAAGTTGACGAGCTCCTGCGCAAGGTCGGGTGCGTCAGTCTTTGCTCAGTCGGCCAACGATGAGGGGCACGACGTCTGGAGAAGAGGGAGGGAGAGGGGGCGCACCTCGAAGCTCTGCGCGTACCACCGCTTGACCTTTTCGATGCTGGGCATCTTGTGGAGGCCATGAGGGAGCTCGTCGAGTTCCTTGACGCGGTGCGCGAGGCGGATCGGGAGCTCTGCGGCGAGGAACTGGGACGCTCGGAGGAGGGTGCCCTGGATGACGCCGTCTCGTCAGTCTCGCCTCGTGCAGGCGGGAGGAGATTGGCGGGCGGGACGCACTTGTGACGGGTTCTGGCCTGCGAGGGTGGGAGTGGGACCAGGGCGGGTCAGCGACACTCGCGAGCGCTAGTGGGGCGCCGAGGAGAGATGGTTGCCGTCGTCTGGACTCACCGAACTGGACCATCTGGCGCAGCGAGACGCCCGTCTGCGGGAACGTGGCATAGTGCGCAATCTGTCGCCTCAGCCTGCGCAGGACAAGAGGGCAGGGTCAGCGAGTGTGCGGGGTGCAAGTCGCGGGGGACGACGGGGAGGGTGGGCGGCCGCTCGAGGCGCCGCGCTCGAGGGACGAGGACGGTGGACGCACGCCTCGGTAAACTGGAAGACCATGACGGGGCTCGGACGCTCAGCAGTGGTGGTGGTCGCGAGCAGAGGGTGGGGGAGCTGATGCGCCTGCGCGCGAGCGAGCGAGCCTGCATCGCCGCGGGCACGACCGGCAACTGGCTCGAGGCCTTTTGACTGTCCCTTCCGCTCCTCTCGCGCTCGAGCCTTTCGCGCTGCACCTGATCCGAGAACGAAAGAACGAAAGATAGATTGCAAGGGAACGAAGGACAATGCAGGTCGCAGAGAGCGGGAATAATAGTGCGAGGGGAACCGGGTATCGTCTCGACGCCAGAGGCCTCGCGTCTAGAGCACATACACAATCTGCGCGATGTGGACGACGAGTCAGAGGTGCGTCGACAGGGCCGAGAGAGAGGGAGAGGTAGAGCGCACCTGGTCGGGCCGAACGAAGAGGCCCTTGCGAGGACCGCTCTCGCGCTGCCCGGTCGGCGACGCCGACCTGCGAGGAGCTCGGCGCGACGGCGGGCGGAGCGCAGGAGACGTGGGTTGAGTAGGCGGCTCGGACGGGAGCGAGGTCGACGCCGACGTGAGGCAGAAATAAGAGACTGTGCGAGGCAAGGGTTAGTGACGGCGGGCTGATGGGTAGGGGAAGTAGGGACGCACTGTCGCCCCTGCGCCCGTCGCACCAGCTCAAGTTGGCCGCCTCGGGCGGGATCGCGCTCTCGAGCGCCTCGACACCGACCCACTGACCCTCCTCGTCGACGAGCCCGCCGATGTACCGCACCTGCGCCTTGACGCGCAACGCCTTGCCACCCTGGCCACCGTCGCCGGCGGTGCGCACGGTGACGATGCACGGGATGCCGGCGAGCAGGCTCGTGCCGGGCAGGCCCGGGGTGGGCGTCGCGGCGGCGGCCCGGGCGGCGACGGCGGCGGCGGAAGGCGTGCGGCGCGAGGCTCCCGCCGTCGTCGGCAGCGCAGGGCGACTGCGCACAGCCGCACGCACAGTGGATGCCCCAGCAGATGCGCTCGTGGCCGCCGAGGTGGACGGGCGGCGCGTTGACGGTCCGAGCGTCGAGGTCGAGGCCGACCGACGGGACGCGAGCGAGCTCGACGACGCAGGCTTGCGCAGAGGAGGTGCTGCTCCCGTCGTCCTCGTCGACGTGTTCGAGCGGAGCGACGTCGTCGACGGCTGGCGCCGAGGCAGGGTGCCGTTGACGGCGGGCGCCGGCGAGGTCGTCGAGGTCGTCGTGCGGCGAGGAACGACGGGCGCCGCCGAGCTCGACACGGCCGTGCGCCGTACTGGAGGCGGACGCGAGGCGACGGTCATACTCGTAGTGGTGCGCGTAGTCGCCGTGCTCGCGACCGACCGGCGGCTTGTCGTCGACGGCGTCGGCGACGCTCGGCGGCGTGGCGCAGGATCGGCGGACGTAGACGAGGCTCTTGCCCTCGACACGGTGGACGCGACCGAGCGAATGGATGCGGGTCGAGCGCTCGTGGGCCGCGCTGCGCCGTTGACCTGCGCCGTCGCCGCCGACCCAGCGACTGGTGGCTGTCCGGGCCTGGCGGAGCTGCCCGGGCGCGGCGTCGCGTCGGTGACGACGGGTGTCGGCGCCGCAGGCCGAGGTCGAGGAGCAGCCGTCGTCGACGCGACTCGGCGAGACGGGGCGGCGGACGTGGCGGACGAGGTGGACGGCGTGCGAGGTGCAGAAGGACGAGCGCTGTGGCTCGGGGCGCGCGAGCTTGTGCTCGAGGGAGAAGTGGCAAGGCGAGGTGCACGAGCCGGAGCGACGGCGGTCGTCGACGATGCTGCACCTGCAGGTCGCGGCGCGGCGATGGAGCGAAGAGGTCGCTCGACGGCGGAAGGGATGCCGTCGACGAGGTGCTGCGGCGGGCGTCGCACTTTTGCGGGACCGGTGCGAGGTTGCAGGCCGTCGCGGTACAGCTCCGTCGGCTTGAGGTCGAGCTCTGTAGGCCAGCTCGAGTCAGGCGGGCCGAGTCGTCGCGAGGGTGGAAGCGAGGACGCACCGTCTGCGAGCTCTTTGGCGCACCACGGCTCGAGGTCGTCGAAGCCGCCGGCGTCGCGGATCATGGCCCACTTGCGCTTGATGTAGCCGAGGATGCCCGAGCGCGTGTCCTCGACGAGAACCCGAGCCTGCGCAGGGAGTGTCAGGTCTTCGGATGCGCGAGAAAGAGTGAGAGGGGTTGAAGAGGACGCACATCGGCCATGATCCCTTGCTGCGAGACGAGGAGGCGAGTCAGACAAGACCGAGTGGCAGAGACGCAGAGAAAGAGGCAGACGCACCTCGCGCAGCAGCACCGACCCGACGAGCGCCTGGTACGCCTTTGGCGCCTTGTTCTCGCGCAGGCCCTTGACGACGAGCGTGAGGAGCCACTCGAGCACGTCGGTGCTGAAGCCGACGCCCTCGGTCAGGTCGACGAACCCGCTCGACGCGACGACCTCGGGCAGGCTCTGCGCGAGAACGGCGACGAGGGCCTCCTCGACGCCGTCGAGCATGCCGCGCACATGGTCGGCCCACGATGCGCTCTCGGCCTCGAGCTGCCGCCGCGCTCGGGCGACGCGACTCGCCGTGTCGGCGACGGTGAGCGGCTTGATGCGGTCGCACACGCCGCGGACGAGCGCCTTCTGGACGTCGTACTCGAGGTGGCCGACGTGCGGCGTCGTCGTCCAGGCCGAGTCAAAGTGCTCGACGACGAGCGGCCTTGCCGCGTTGGCGAGCCGCGCGCAGTTGACGTCCGGCGCGTGGGCGAACGCGAGGACGCGCGGCGCTCGACCCGGGTTGAGCTGGCCGAGGACCTTGTGCTCGATGGCCGACTGGAGCGTCGACAGCGACAGGAAGGCGGCGCATCGCCAGATCTCGAACGACGTCGCGAGGTCGAACTTGCGCGGCGAGAAGTCGAGCGTGCCGGTGTAGATGTACCCGAGGACGAACGTGGTCGAGGCGGGCGTGAAGGGTGGCGAGGGCAGGGTGAATGTGTCGGCATTCGAGTCGGCGTAGTCGCCGAGAAGGAGGGCGTGGAAGTACGGCGAGCGCGAGGCGAGGATGGCGCGATGGGCCGCGAAGGGTTCGCCCGGCACGCCCTCGAGGACGACCGACACGTCCGAGTAGAGCTTGCTCCTCCAGCAGTACAGGAGGTCCTGCGAGGGCGGTGACGGCGATGAGCGCAAGTGCGTGCGGGCGAGAAAGGGAGGAAGAAGGTGGACGGACCTGGCGAAGTCGCGGCACGCCCTTGAGACCCTGTTCCTCCTCGCTCGCGCCGTCCTGGAAGCCGTCGAGTGCGACGACGAACGCCTCGGCGGCGCTGCTCGCCGTGTAGAAGTACTCGAGCGCCGCCTCGAACACGTTGATGTCGGTGTGGCCGAGCGAGAGGGGCCGCGTGTCGCGACCGTGACCGACAGCGGACCCGCTGTCGCTCGGGTACGAGCTCGTCGAAGAAGGGCGTAGCGAGTGGTGGTCATGCCGCTGAGCGGACGGGACGAGCGAGTCGTGTCGAGCGATGGTCGAGGGGGAGAAGGTGCGAAACGAGGTCGTCGAGGTGCCGTAGATGGACAGGTCCGACTCGGACAGGCCGTGCGGCACGCCGAGATAGCGCTGCTGGAACGAGCCTGCATGCGCAAGATCTGGTCAGCTCGCTGAGGAAGGCGGGACGAGGTGCCTCTCGTCGCCTCGGGTGGGGGACGACCCTCGAGGACAAGAGAGGGAACAGGTGGACGGACCGGTGGCGCGCGCGTAGACGATGCACTTGTGGGCGTAGACCGTCTTGCCCGAGGCGTCGTCCCGCCAGGCGACGTCGCCGAAGCGCTCTTGCGCGTCGACGAGAAGCGAGCCCAGGTCCTTCAACCACTGACGCTCCGACTCGGGCGACCCGAGGGCAGCTATCGGCGGGTCGAGGGCACCCTTGGGCATGGCACACGGGCCGAGGCGCGCTCGCAGGTTGTGGTGAGGGATGCGGGTCGGGACGAGAGCCCGCACCGCCTCGTCTTCATCTCCTCACTTTACTCGTCTCGCCGACGATGGCCAAGCTCAACGTGAGCACGGCAGCCACCGTCCTACCTGCTCGCTCGACCCTGCTGACTCGACCTCCTCACAGGTCCTGGTCTACGACGGCTCGGGCGTCGCCGCCGCCTCTCGCGACAACCTCGTGCGCGCTCTTCGCGCCTTCCTCGCGCACCGGTACGACGTGCAGCTCGTTACGCCCAAGCAGATCAAGGACGAGCCGTGGACCAACAACTGCGCCCTCCTCGTCTTTCCCGGCGGCCGCGACCTCCCGTACCTGTTCGACCTCTCGCCGAGGGGCAACCGCCGCATCCGCGACTGGGTCGAGCAAGGCGGGCGCTACCTCGGCATTTGCGCAGGCGCCTACTACGCCTGCAGCGCGATCGAGTTCGAGGTCGGGACGCCGCTCGAGGTCACCGGCGAGCGCGAGCTGTCGTTCTTCCCCGGCGTGTGCAAGGGCACCGTGTTCGCGGGCTTCAAATACGACTCGGACGACGGCGCGCGCGAGTGCGACCTGACGCTGAACCGCGGCGCGTGGCGGGACCACTGGCCGCAGTCGCCCGAGACGTGCGAGGTGTGGTACAACGGCGGCGGCGCCTTCTTCCCGCCAGCGTCGCAGCCCGAGGGCTCGTGGTCTTCCTCGTCGTCGAGTCGCTCGTACGAGGTCCTCGCGACGTACTCGCAGGTCGAGGGCACCCCGGCGGCTGGCGTCCTGTGCCACGTCCGCCAGGGCAAGGCTGTCCTGTGGGGCACGCACCCCGAGCACTCGGCGCCCGACGGCGCCGACCCCGAGGCGCACGAGGCCAAGGAGCGTGCTCGGCTCAACCTTATTCGCGGCAGCCTGTCGGCGCTCGACCTCGAGGTGTCGGACGCGCCGGCCCCGCCACCGCGGCTCCTGCCCCTCTTCCTCGCCTCGGACGACTCGTCGGCGACGCAGCGCACCGCCGAGGCGCTCGCTGGTGTCGCGCAGGCCACTGGGCCCGCCGAGGCGTCCATCGTCGACCGCAACGACACGTTCGTCCTGCACGCGGCGTCGTCCGCCTCGCAGCTCCTGCACCGGGCGCGGCATCCGGACACGCCGGCGCCAGAAGAGCCCGAGGAGCTCCAGAAGGAGCTCAAGCACATCTGCATCTGCGACGAGGCGCTGCCGCCGACCGCGCTCACGCCACTGTTCGACCTGGCCCTGTACTTTGCGACGCTGCGCACCGTCCAGCCGGCGCCGGCGCCGTTCGGCCACGTCCTCCTGTACGGCGAGGTCGTCACGAGCACGCAGACCATGCTCGACAAGTCCGTCCCCTCTCTCTCCTCTGTCACGGTGACGACGTACAAGGAGCCTGACTCGCCGTGTCCTTGCAGGAACAACACCTTCCTCGGCGCACTGCCCTCGGGCCTCGCCTGCGTCGCCTCGCACCAAGTCGCCGGCCGAGGTCGCGGCGGCAACTCGTGGATCTCGCCCGCAGGCTGCCTCCAGTTCTCGCTCGTCGCGCGCCTGCCCTCGACCGCGTCGTCGCGCATCGTCTTTGTCCAGTACCTGTTCGGCGTCGCCGTCGTCGAGGCGATCCGGGCCGTGCCCGGGTACGACAAGCTCGGCGTGTGCCTCAAGTGGCCCAACGACATCTACGCCGACCTGGGTCTTGACGGCGGCGAGGGCATGGAGCGGTACCGCAAGATCGGCGGCATCCTCGTCAACTCGAGCTTTGCCGGCGGCGAGTTCTCCCTCGTAATCGGTCCGTCGTCTCTCTTCTCTCTCTCGCGGGAACCCTCACGAACTGACCTCGACTCGCGCCTGCAGGCTGCGGCATCAACACGAGCAACCCTCGACCGACGACCTCGGTCAACGAGCTCGTCGAGCTGCACAACAAGCGGCACCGCACGTCGCTGCCGCTCTTCCGCCCCGAGACGCTCCTCGCCCTCATCCTCGCGCGCTTCAACACGATGTGGCCCGTCTTTGCCGCCGAGGGCTTCGAGCCTTTCATCGACCGGTACCTCGCGAGCTGGATCCACTCGTGCGTCCTCTCGCTCTCTGTCCTCCCGCTCCCTTCCTCCTTTCTCTCGACTCTCGAGCATCGACACTGACGTCCCTTGCGTCGCACGCATAGCGACCAGGTCGTCACGCTCGACTCGAGCCCGCCGCAGCGAGTGCGCATCGTCGGCCTCACGCCCGACCACGGCCTGCTCCGCACAGCGCCCGTCGCGGTCGACCGCTCGGGTCGCGAGCTCTTCCTCGGCGCTGGCGCAGGAGGAGCACCAGGAGGAGGAGGAGGCGGCGCGTCGCAGTTTGTCGACCTCCAGCCGGACGGGAACCGGTTCGACATCCTGAAGGGGCTCATCTACGCCCGCACTGCGTAGCTCGTCTGCTGTAACTGCGAGTCCAATCGAAGCGCCTGCGACCCCTGGCAAGCGAGAGAAGCAGAGCAGAGACCTCGAAATTGATGAGACGGGCGCCAGCTTGGATCTCGGGAGGCGGTGCTGCACGCTCGCCTCGCCCTCTACCGCGCCTGCTCACCACGATGCCCAAGGCCGCCGCACCTCGCAAGGGAGTCCAGATGAAGCACGACCCGCTCGCGGTGCAGCTGCGCGCCGGCGAGGCCGACGACACGGGCGCGTTCAGCCAGCCGGGCAAGCGGCAAAAAGCGACCAAGAAGCGCCACCAGGAGGAGGAGGTGCGTCCTGCAGCGCTCTCTACTCTCTGTGTACACGTACTGACCCGCTCCCGATGCGCGCAGAGCGCCCTGAGCGCCAAGACGACGGCCAAGGTGCTCGCCATGGCGCGCGAGCAGCAAGACGAGCTCGCGGGCGAGGACATTGACGAGCTGGCAGGAGACGTCGAGTGCGTCCACTTTCACCGAGTCCGTGTACTGCGAGCCGAGCCTGACCTCGGCTTGTGCGCGTGCAACAGCGAGACGGAGGAGACGCAGCAGCTTCGCGGCGACGACGACGACGACGAGGACTTCAGCGACGAGGACGACTACGAGGAGTACGAGGAGCTTGTGCGTCCCGTTCACTCTCTCCCGATGCTCAGGACGAGGAGCTGACCCGTCCCCATCCTCGGCAGGAAATCGACGAGGCGGACCGCGAGGCGTTCCTCGACAGCTACGTCCCGACGGGGCAGCTCGAGCCCGGTCGGACGCTCGCCGACCTCATCATGGAGAAGATTGGGCAGCAGGAGCAGGCGGGCAAGGGCAAGGAGCCTGGTGCGTCGCCCTCTCCTTTCCATGACTGGCTTGGTGCGCCCGACGCTGACCCTCTCTTTTCACGCCGGCAGAGGTCGTTCGCGAGGCGCCGTCGGGCTTCAACCCCAAGGTCGTCGAGGTCTACACCAAGTGCGTCCCCGTCCTGTCGCTCGAGCCCTTCAAGTCGCGTCACTGACCCGGGCCCTCGTCGCCTCGCAGGGTCGGCCAGCTCCTGTCGCGGTACAAGTCGGGCCCGCTCCCCAAGGCGTTCAAGATCCTCCCGACGCTGCCCATGTGGCCCTCACTCGTCATGCTCACCAACCCGGAGACGTGGACGCCGCACGCGACGTACGCCGCGACGCGCATCTTTGCGTCCAACCTCGACCCCAAGCAGAGCCAGAAGTTCTACAAGGAGATCCTGCTCGAGAAGGTGCGCGAGGAGATTGGCGAGTCGGGCAAGTTGAGCGTGCACACGTACATGGCGCTCAAGAAGGCCATTTACAAGCCGGCGGCGTTCTTCAAGGGCCTCTTGTTCCCTCTGTGCGAGGTCCGTCCCGGCTTTCGCCCTCTTTCTCTCTCCTCTCTTTCCAAGCTCGGCATCTGACTCATGCGTCCCTGCACAGAGCGGCACCTGCACCCTGCGCGAGGCGGCCATCCTCGGCTCGGTCCTGACCAAGGTCAGCGTCCCCGTCCTGCACTCGGGCGCGGCCCTTCTCAAGCTCGCCGAGATGGAGTACACCGGTGCGTCTCCCGCCATCTCTCTCCCTCTCTCTCTAGGCCTCTCACTGACCCCGCGTCGTATGCGCACTCGCCCCACAGGCCCTAACAGCGTCTTTATCCGGGTCCTGCTCGACAAGAAGTACGCGCTGCCCTACAAGGTGGTCGACGCGCTCGTGTTCCACTTCCTGCGGTTCAAGCGCGACACGCGCCAGATGCCCGTCCTGTGGCACCAGTCGTTCCTCGTCTTTGTCCAGCGGTGCGTCGCACACTCCCCTCTCTCTCTCTCACGTTCTCGCGATCGGCGACCTGACGCTCCTCGGTCGGTGGCCACGTGCGGCACACAGGTACAAGTCGGACCTGACGGCCGAGCAGAAGGACGCGCTGCTCGAGGTGCTGCGGTACCAGGTGCACCACCAGATCACGCCCGAGATTCGCCGCGAGATTGTCCACTCGGTCGCGCGCGGCGAGGAGATCCTCCAGGCCGACACGATGGAGGTCGAGATCCAGTAGGGGGCCTTTGCGCTCTCGCTCTCGCTCTCGCTCTCGGTGTCTCTCGGTCGGCGGCGTCGAGGAGAAGGAGGAGGAGGAGGGGCCGTGTAGCTCTGTTGTAAACTCGTCGCGGTGCACCCTGTTCCACCCTGATCTCGCGTCGCGCCCCCTCTCGCTACGCAAGCACGCTGCGCCTGATGCCAGCCCACGACTTGCGCACCCACTCGAGGAAGAGGCCGGCGTTTTCCATCTCCTTGCCGACGCGCGCGCCCTGGTCGAGGAGGCGGTCGGCGTACTGCTGCGCGGCGGCGATGCGCTCTGGGGCGGACGATGCGGAGGGGGAGAGGAGGGAGAGCTCGGCGAGGGCGTAGGCGGTCGAGAGGCGGAGGCGCAGGGTGTACCAGTCGGTCTGCGAGGAGAGGGCGGATCAGCGACTGCTCGAGGGAGGGGGGTGGGGTGGACGAGGAGGGGACGAGGACGCACGCCCTGGGCGACGCTGCCGCTCGCTTTTGCGAGGTCCTGGGCGATGTGGGCGACGTGCGAGAGGTGCGAGGCCGGGTTGGGCACGGGGAGGGCCGAGAGCGGGTGCGAGAGGTAGGTGCCCTGTGGCGCCGAGAGGAGTGCGAGGGCCTGCGGGGCGTGCTCGCTCGGGAGTCAGGTTGGACGCCCTGTCATGGCAAAGGAGAGGGAGAAGAGGGGCGCGCCTGAGGCAGCTTGTCGAGGACCGGCTTGTTGTAGGCGATGCGCTCGCGCAACCCGAACCGGATCGCGTCCTCGCCCCTCAGCCCACTGTCTCGCACGGCGGTCCTCATGCCATCCCTGCCCTGCACGAGCCACTCTTGGACGAGCGCGCGTGCGGGCCCGGTGCGCTCGCGGTCGCGCGGTGCGGTGCCCTCGCCGCGCGCGAGGGCGACGAGCTCGTGGCGCGAGCGCGAGCGGCGGCCGCCGTTGCCGAGGGCGAGGCCGCGGAGGGACCAGTCGGAGGGCTCGGCGGGTGGTGGCGAGGGGAACAGGGCGTGGAGCGTGTGGGTCGAGATGGGCGATGAGGGGTTCGAGGCGGCGATGAGGGCGGCCGAGGTGAAGCCGAGGGAGGGGACGAGCGGGAGGGCGGCGCGGGTGAGGTGGCGGGCGACGGGTACGGCGGCCATGGCTGTGTGCGGAGACGAGGCGAGGTGGAGCGACGTGCACGAGGCGGCTGCGGCGACGACGCTGAGATGAGGTCGAGCGACGGCCCACAAGCCTGACCCCGCACACTCCTTCTCCCTCGTCCACCGCAGCTCCCTGCTGAGCTCGACTCCAGCCACGATGAGCTCGTCGACCCACAAGCGACCACGCGTCGCCGTCATCGGCACTGGGTGAGTCCCTCTTCGCGGCGCCGATCTTCATCTGCCTCTGACCCTCGTCCCCGTCCTCCCTCCAGTCTCGCAGGCCTGTCGACCGCCTACCTCCTCAAGCAGGCCCGTGCGACACGCACCGATGGATCGACCGTCGACTTTGACGTCCACCTCTTCGAGCGCGTGCGTCCACCTCCACCCTCCTCCCCACCTCCTCGCGGCGTCAGGTCGCCGTCGGTGCTGACCTTCTCCTTGCACAGAGCGACGCACTCGGCATGGACACGGCTTCGCTCTCGATCAAGGACGAGGACGGCTCGTACCGCGTCGACGTACCCATGCGCTCCATCAACGGCGGTCCGTCCCTCGTCTCGCTTCCTTCCTCGTTCGACCCAGCGCTCACCTCGCTCAACCTACAGGCTCGCACAGTCGCGTCCACACGCTGTACCGCAGCCTCAACGTGCCCCTTGTCAAGTCCGACTTTACCTACTCGTTCTCGCGCCTCGCTCGTTCCTCTCCCTCCCTTCCGTCGACCGCGCCCGACCACCTCCTCGCGGAACCCTCATCGCCCTCGCTCCCGCCGACACCTCCACCCGAGTACCGCGAGCACGCCTCGTCTTCGCGCCCGCCGACGCCGCTCCACCACCACCAGCGGCCGACGCCCCGTCGCACGGGCCCGAGGGCCGCGCCCAAACGCGCCGCCCGGCCCCGCCAGACGACGGCGCTCCTGTACGAGGGCGCATCGGGCCTGCGCCTCCCGCCCGCGTCCATCCCGTCGCACCTGTCGCGCGCGCCGTGGCGCGCCCAGGCCGCCTACTGCGCCGACGTCGTCGCCTTCACGCTCGCGTACCTGTACCTCGTCGTGCTCGCCCTGTGGTACTGCGCGCTCGGACTCGCGTACCCGCCGCGCTCGCCGCCTGCGCCTTACACGTCGACCTCGCGCATCAAGCGCACCCTGTCGCGCGTTGCGAAGGCCGTCGGCGCGACGGTCCCGCTGCGCAACGTCGCCCGCGAGCCACTGCTCGAGTGGTGCGCGCGGCACCGCGTCCCGCGGCGCTTCACGGACGACATCCTCGTGCCGCTCATGGCCGCCGTCGCGACCGTCGGCGTCGTCGAGGCGCGCACCATGCCCGTCGGCGAGGTTCTCCGTGCGTCCCTCGCTCCCTCTTTCCTCCTCGCCCCTCGTCCGACCCTCTCTGATATGCTCCCTCTGCCGCCGCCCGCCCACCCGCAGAGTACGTCTCGTCAACCCTCGGCGCGTCTCACTACGTGACGGACCCGGCGTTCGGCGTGCGCGGCATCGTCGCAGCCCTCGCGCGCCCAGTCCCGCCCTCGAACTTGCACCTCGGCGTCGAGATCACGCGCCTCGAGCGCCTCGCGTCGTCGCCGTCCTCCTCGTCGTCGTCCCCGTCGGGCGGCGGCGGCGACGCAGGGTATCGCCTGCACGTGCGCACGCAGGAATTCGAGACGGGCGAGGACGTCGACCGCGTCCTCGAGTTTGAGCACCTCGTGTTCGCGACGCAAGCCGATCAGGCTGCGCGCCTCGTGTCGACGCTCGCCAGCCCCAGCCCCGGCCCCGGCCCCGGCTCCGACGAGCACGAGCGCGTCCACGTCGACGACGACGAGCTCGCCGCGACGCTCGACGCCCTGCGCGCCTTCACGTACGTGCGCACGCTCGTCGTCACTCACACGGACGAGAGCGTGCTGCCCCCGGCGTCGAGCGACCGGCGCGACCTCAACCTCGTCGTCTATGAGCGCGAGCCCGCGATGGCGGCGGCGGCGGCTGGGGGCGAGGACGGCGAGGACGGCGAGGACGAGCAGGACGAATGGGACGAGGCGCAGGGGCACCTCCCGCCCTCGTCGGTCGAGACGACGCACGTCATCCTCTCGAGCCGGAAGGGCAGCAGCAGCAGCGTCGGCGGCCGGCCGCCGGCGGAGCGCACGGTCCTCCAGACGACCAACCCGCTCACGCCAATCTCCGAGGCCCACACGCTCGCGAGCACGTGGTTCTCGCGCGCGTTCGTCACGCAGCGCAGCCAGCGCGCCGTCGGCGTCCTCGCTGCGCGGCACGGACACGAGCACGAGCGCGAGCACGAGCGGGGCCGACGGGCGGGAGGACCGAGGGCGCGAGGGCTGTGGTTCGCGGGGAGCTACCTCGCGAGCGGGATCCCGCTCCTCGAAGGGTGCGTCACGAGCGCCGAGGCGGTCGTGCGCGGTGTCATTGCGAGCGAGGGCGCGACGGTCGAGCGCTGGGCGTTCTGAGCCTTGGACGAGCATGTAGATCTCCCTTCTCTCTCTCTCTCCCTTTCTCTCGCCTTGCTGTAGAAGCTCTCTCATAGTCGGACATGGCATGTGCAAGTAGACTCTCTCGCATTGCGTGGCGCTCGTCGAGTTCAGAGAGCGAGAGAAGGAGAGGAAAGCGCGATGCAGGGCGCCCGTCCCTCGTCGTCCTCGTCCGCTCACTCCTGCAGGTCCTTGCCCGCCGGCGCACCAGTACCGCCGCCGCCACCGCTCCCTCGTGCTCCCGTCTCCTCCTCCGTCGACGGCTCGAGCATCATGGCCGCCCCGGCGCTGCGCGCCCCGCCGCTCGCGCCGGGCAGCAGCGGCGGCACGTTGACGCTGAGCGGCGGCTTTGGCGCGCCGCCGGGCGCCGTCGCAGGGCGGGGCGTCGCGCTCCCGCCGGAGCTGGTGGCGCTGCCCGAGCCGCCGGCCGGCGCGGACGACGACGACGCTGGGGCGCTGCCGGCCGCCGAGGAGGGCGGCGGAGCGTGGCCCGACTCGGGCGCGACAGGCGTCGACGGCGTCATGCCGCCCGCTCCTGCTCCTGCTCCTGCTCCCGCTCCCGCTCCAGCTGCCGCCGCCGCCGCCGCCGAGTCGGTCTTTGTGACCCTGCCGCAGAACCAGCTCGGGAGCCAGCCTCGGCCGCCATCGTCCTTGACGGCGTAGCTCCAGTGGTTGTAGCGCTTGAGGATGCGCAGCGTCGCGCCCTTGCGCACCTCGAGCTCGCCTGCGCCGCGAGGGACGTAGTCCATGAGGGCGACGCCGGGCGTCGACACGGACACGACGAGCGACGGCGGGATCGGGACGGTCGCCGCGTTGCCCTCGTGCGCGGGGACACCGGCTGCGGCTGCTGTCGAGGAGGCGGATGTCGTCGGGGTGGTGGAGGAGGAGGAGGAAGAGGGCCCGCCGGCAGAGGTCGAGGTGGCCGAGGTGGGCGTCTTGGCCGCCGAGGGGGACGACGCCTCGCCCGACGATGCCGCTGCGGCGCCGCCACAGAGCGACAAAGGCGGGACCGACGTTTCGAGGAGGCACCCGGCGGGGACCCAGGCCGACTTTCTCGGCGCGGGCGAGGGCGAGTACGACGACGGGTCCGGGTTGGACGAGGTCGACGACGACAGGTTCGAGGACGACGAAGGCGAGGCTTGGTCGCGGTGGACGACCCACCAGCCCTTGGTCTTGGACAGGATGACGAACGCTGAGAGAGAGAGAGAGGGAGGGAGGTTGGGACAGAGGGAGGAGAGGGGGATGTCAGGACGGACTTGCTCGAGGCGGGGAAACGGCGCGAGCGAGGGTGAGAGAGAGTAGGCTCGACGCACTGTCGCCGACGGCAACGTCGAACTCGTCCCTGTGGGCGCGGCAGCAAGGTCAGGAACTCGCGAGAGCGAGAGAACGAGAGATAGAGAGAGAGAAAGTGGGACGCACTCGCGCTCGGCGAGGTACGGGTAGATGGCGATGCAGTACCCCTGGGCCTTCTTGCCCGTCGTCGTCGTCGTTGCCCCACCCTCGTCCTTCTTGTCCGTGCCGCCCTCGCCCTCGCCCGCCTCGTCGCCCTTGTCCTTGTCCTTGTCCTTGCCGACGGGGAGCAACACGGGCGGGTGGTGCAGCCTCGTCGGGCGCGCGTTGCCCTGGAGCCCGTTGGCCGGGTTCGCCATCGCCATGGCCGACGACGCGCCGCCGGGCGCTGCGGTCCCGTCGCGGTTGACGCCCATCAAGCTGCGCTCGACGCCGCCGCCGATACCCGCCGGGCGCTTGTCCTTGCGCGCAGCGTGCTTGGCCGTCGCGACCGCGATCGGGCTCTTGATGTCCTTGATGTGCCGCAGCATAAAGACGGGGTTGTCGTTCGACTCTTTGAGCTTCTGGAACAGGAGGAGGGGCTTCTCGTCGTACGCGAGGCACCGCTCCGTGTTGCCGTAGCAGATGAAGAGCGCGTACAGCCGCCAGTCGTCGTTGATCTTGTATTTTTTGAGCGCGGCCGGGAGCACCTTGTAGCACGGGTCCTCGACCGTGACGCGGAACGAGCGGTACGGGTTGTCGGCCGAGGTCGAGGTCGAGGTCGACGAGCCCTCGCGCGTGCGGGATGTCGACGCCGAGGGCGACAGCGACGACGACGACGACGACGTGGTCGGGTTGGTCGACGACGACAAGGACGGGTCGGACGCGCCGTTGCGGGACGCCGACGAGGATGACGGGTGCAGGTGCGAGTTGGGCGTCCCACCACCACCGCCGCCCGAGTCTGGGTGGATGAGCATGGGCGCCGTCGGGGTGGTAGGTGTCGCGACGCCGCTGATGCTGATCTCGGCCGGCTGGAGGTGCGGCGCCTGCGGGCCCGTCGCCGCCGTCGAGGCGCCATCGTGCAGCGCGTGGCCGTTCACGACCTGGTACTGCTGCCCGTGCTGCGGGTACTGCTGCTGCTGCTGCTGCTGCTGCTGCGACTGGTAGTCGCCCAACGTCCTCGGCGAGTCGACGACAGGGCTGTGGGGCGAGTCGGGCAGGCCGCCGCCGCCTGCGTGGTGCGGCAGGGCGAGGGTGCTCGAGGCGCCGACGACGGGCGGCGGGTTGCGCGGGCGCGAGGGCGTCGACGACGAGCGCGACAGGGTCGACGAGTTGCTGAGCGGGTGGACAAAGCCGAGGCCGGTCGGGGAGCGGACGCTTGGGCGCGGCTGCGAGGGTGAGGGCGGGGGGCACGACGAGTGAGCGGTCGGGTTGGCGGCGCGAGCGAGCGAGGCGAGAGAGGGAGAGGGCGGGGGACGCACCTTGGTCGATGGCCCACCACCTCTCGCGACGTTGAGCGAGTCCTCGCGCAGGTTGATGAGGGCCGAGTGGAGGCTGTGCACCTCGCTCTCGAGGCGATGGATGCGCTCGTCTCGTTCCGACAAGAGGCCGAGGATCTGGTACGCCGGGAGCGGGCCTGCGCCGTCGAGGTCCTCGGACGGCGGGACATAGTGGCCGTCCTCGATGGGGATGTCCTGGGCGACCTTGAGGTCGTAGACGGCCTTGAGGATGGCGAGGCGCTGGCCGACCGAGTGGACACCGACGTCCTTGAGGGCGGCATGGTCGAGGTGGATGAGGACGTCGCCCGAGATGCCGTGGTCTGCGAGGGGGCGCGCGTACCGGTCAGGTCCAGGTCTGCAACTAGAGAAGGGCACTGTGGTGCGCACCTTGGAGCTGGTCGCGGTAGTGGGGGAAGCCGAGGTCGGCGAACAAGCGGTGGACTTGGTCCGGGTCGAGGGCGAGCAGGTCGAGGGCGTACGGCGGTGGCGGGTCGCCGTGGCCGTTCGAGGCGAGCATGTGCGCGAGGTGGGTCTAGGCTGCTCTCTGCTGGTGGTCGACGAGAGCGAGCGAGTTGGACCCTCCCCTCGTCTGAATCGCCTCGTCCTCGTCGAGAGGGGCTCGTCCCTCGCTTTCCTCGCCTCAGTCGCCCGGACAGAGCTGCACGCATCGACACGCGCTCAGTCTCGACAGCACTCCCCTCGACCCAGCTCTTCTCTCCGTGCAACCGCTCCCACCGAGCTCCCCCACCTCCGCCCCTTCATCTCGCTCAACCCACCTCGAGCGTCCACCAACCCGCGCCGCGCCCGCACTAGCACTAGCACTCGCGTACCTCAACACGCGCCCCCATGCTCGGCCACAAGTGCGGCATTTGCCTCAGCTCGCGCTCCGAGCACCTCCCGTCCACCAAACACGCCCACGAGGACTGGTGCGCTTTCACCAGCTGCGGCCACGTCTACCACCTCGTGCGTCCCCGTCCTCCTCCTCTCTCTTCCACACCCACACTGGGAGCCCTCCCCGCTGAGCCGTTCCACCCCCGCGCCGCGCCGCGCCCGCAGTCGTGCATCGAGCAGTGGCACCGCACCGCCAACGCGGCGGGCTGTCCCGCGCGCTGCGCCTCGCGCGACGTCAAGCGCCAGAAGCGGCCCGGCTCGCGCATCACCGAGTCGCTCCCGTACCTGCGCCTGTACATCGACGCGCCGCGCGCACCGGGCGCACACGTCCCGCCGTCGTCCGACGCCGTCGACGCCGCACCCGAGGTCAAGCCGCGGCGCGACAAGGGCAAGGGCAAGGCGCGCGCTGTGCCTGATGACGAGGACGACGACGAGGAGGACGAGGAGGAGGACGGGCAGGATGAGGGCGGCGCGGTGGACGAGGTGACGCGCCTGCGCCGCCAGCGCACCGAGGCGCTCGACACGGTGCGGCGGCAGCGCGACGAGCTTGCGCAGCTGCGCGAGCGCATGTGCGTCGCCGAGACGGCGGCGGCGGCGGTGGCGAGGCGGGCCCGCTCGTCCTTCCGCAGCCCGTTCTTCCCGCCCGGCGGCGACGGCAGCGGCGGCGGCGGTCCGAGAGCCCGTCACCCGTTCGGCAACGGCGAGGGCGGCGCGGACGACGAGGACGAGCTGTACGGGTACATGGACGACGACGACGACTGGTGCGCCGAGTGCGAGCAGGAGCACGACGGCGATGACGAGTGCGCGCCCTTTGCCGCCGAGCTCGCCTCGGCGCGCAACGAGCTCTCGCGCCTGCGGGCGGTCGCAGACCCGCAGGCCGTCGCCACCCTTGCGGCGCAGCTGCGCGCGCTCCAGACGCGCTTCGACGAGCTCTCGACGCGGCACGCGGCGCTCGAGGCCCAGTGCGCCGAGCAGGTGCGCGAGCGAGACGAGGCGCGCAACGTGTACCACGAGGGCAAGATCAAGTGGCAGGAGGAGGTGCGCCGGCTCAAGCAGCAGCTCGAGGCGAGTGGCGAGAGCGGCGAGGAGCGCATCCGTCAGCTCGGGCAGGAGATCCAGGACAAGGAGCACGAGATCTTCCTGTGCGTCCTGCCTCTCCCTCTCTCTCTCTCTCTCTCTCTCTCTCTCTCTCTCTCTCTCTCTCTCTCTCCTCTCTTTCCTCGGGTCGTGCTGCACGGCACGGGCGCCTTATTGACACCTCGCCTCCGTCGCAGGCTGAGAGCCGCTCAAGAAGGCCACGAGCACCGCGCCGACGAGGCGTGCAAGAAGGCGGCCGACGCGGCCCAACGAGCTCGCCACGAGTCGCTCGCCGCTCAAGCCGAGGCCAAGCGCAACGTCGACGCCGCCCTGGAGCACGCGGCGCAGGAGGTGCGGCTGCGCAAGCGCGTCGACCTCGCCAACAAGGCGGCGCTCGACAAGGTGCGTCCCGCTCTCTCTCTCTCTCTTTTGCAGTCTCTTTCCCTCGTCCTCTTCCTGACGAGATTCGCCTCCCGACAGATCAAGAAGCTCAAGGCCAAGCTCAAGGAGTTGCAGACCAAGCGCGGCATCCTTGCGCCCGACAGCGACGACGACAACGACGGCGACGATGCCTGCCTGCCCCTGAACGCCTCGATCACCCTCTCGCGCCCGCCGCGCACCTCGCTCTCGCCCGCCGACGACCCGTCCTCGGCCTTCCGCGTCAACAACAACTCGTGCCTCGTGCTCGCGAGCCCGACGACCAAGCAGCAGCAGCGCTCGGCACGGCGCCGCACGCCGTTCGACGAGACGTGCGACGTGTCGCTCGAGACGGACCCGGTCGAGGACGCCGACGCCGACGCCGACGCCGACGCCGACGCGCTCGAGTACGCCGACGTCGACATTGCGCACGGCGACGACGACGACGACGACGACGAGGTCGAGAACCGCCCGCCGATGCAGGTCGAGCTCGACTCGGACAGCGACATCGAGATTGTCGAGCCCGTCCCGTCCAAGTACTTCTCGTCGAGCGCCCCGGCTCGGCCCTTTGCGGCGCGCAACAGCGCCCACGACGCCGACGAGCGCTTCCTGTCGCCGCCGCCCCACTCGGCATCGGCGTCGGCGGCGGGCAAGAAGCGCGCGTTCGGGCTCACGACGCTCGCCGAGGGCTCGTCGGCGGCGGCGTCGACGAGCCGGTGGGCGAGCAAGAAGCCGGCGCTGTCCCAGTCGCGCAGCGACAAGTACCTGCCCGACTTTGCGTCGGCGGCGTCGGTGCGCAAGGCGGCGGCGGTGGGCCCCAAGCACAAGGTCAAGCGGAGGTGAGGAAGGTGGCACGATGAGCTGGTCCTCCTTGTGCTGTAGCAGTCTCTCGTTGTCATTGTGGAACCCTGTTGTCGTTCTCCAGCCCTCGACTCGTTGCAGCGTTCGTCTAAACAAAAGAGAGAGCGGGCCCCCGCCCTCACTGCTCGAGCCGGTCCAAGTACGCCTTCCAGCCCGCCTCCTGGTACCGCTTGCTCTGCCGCACAATCTCGTCGTCGGCGCTGCCCTCGCCACCGCCGTAGATGCCGCGCCCGACAATGATGATGTCGCACCCCGACTCGTTGACGACCTCGTCTGGCGTGCGGTACTGCTGGCCCATGCCGTCGCCCTTCGAGTCGAGCCCGACGCCGGGCGTCATGATGACGTAGTCGGCCTGCAGTGTACGAGGCAGGGTCAGTGACGTGTCCACGAGGGAGAGCACGAGAGAGAGAGAGAGAGAGAGAGAGAGGGACGCACCCCCTCGCCTGGTGCAACCCCGCCCGCCGTCTCTTCCCGCTCGTCGACGCGACGCATGGCGACAAAGCCCATGACAAAGTCGGGGAACCTCCTTGCGGCCTCGACGTTCTTGCGGGTATAGTCGCCCGTCGCGAGGTTGCCCTTTGCGCTCATCTCGGCGAGGAGGAGCAGGCCGCGCCCGAGCGGCTGGCCGACCGACGCGAGCCCTGTCAGGATGCCCTCGCCCGGGACGAGGTGCGCGTTGGTGATGTGCGACCACGAGGCAATCTTGTAGATGCCCGACGAGTACTGCAGCCGGACCGTGTTGCCTGCGGGGGCGCGCACGCGAGGGGGAGGGTCAGTGGTCGGCTCGCGCGCGAAGAGAGGGACGACGAGCGAGAGGAGGCGCGCACCGATGTCGGCAAACTTGCGGTCCTCCCAGATGAGAAAGTCGTGCTTGTCGGCGAGCGCCTGCAGTTGCTGCACGAGGTCCTGGTCAAAGTCCTCGACGATGTCGATGTGCGTCTGCGCGGCGGGGGCAGGCGAGGTCAGTCAGCTCGGGGAGGGGGAGGGGGAGGAGGAGGTCGGGGCGTACCTTGACACAGCAGATGTAAGGGCCGGCGGCGTCGGCAATGCGCAGGAGCGCCGCCTTCTTGGTCACATCGACCGAGACGCACAGGTTGGTCTGCTTGCGCTCACAGCACGCGAGGAGCTGCTGCGCGACTGGGATCGGGTGAGCGGCGGCGCGCGAGCCGTAGGTGCGCTTGGTGATCGAGGGCATGGCTCGGCGGTGTGGCTGGCGAGGCGCGATAGGTGGAAGGTCGAGGAGGTGATGAGGATTCCGGAGGAGAACGACGGTGCAGGCGATAGAGCTGCTGGATCGATGTGGGCGGATAGCAAGGCTCTGCTGGCTAGTCGGACGGGTGCTGGGCCTGGCTGAGCGATAGGCGGCGGAGAGAGGACGAGGAGCTGATGAGAATCGAAAACCCTCAGAGGATGAGACCCTCGTCGCTCGACAGCTCGCTAGAGGCTATCTGTAGCTGTAGAGCTGCACTGTAAGCTTCTTTGATCCCGTACATGGTGCCGCCTTCCTCGCTGCGAGCGACCCAAGCTGGGCGACTCGTCCACGCCCCGCCTTCGAGAAGCCGACCGTCGTCACCGGCGGCCTCTTCTCCTTGTCCACCGCTGCCTTCTGGCGTCTCGAGTCTTCTCACACAGCACTACAAGCACCTCTACATCATGGTAGTCAAGCCCAACCGCTCGGGGTGAGTCCTGCTCCCTCCTCCGTCCCGAGGTCCCCCACTTTCACCGAGGCGCTTGTCACGCCGCTCTCGAGGCCGGTGCTGGGTCAGGGCGGGCTTCAGGTGGAGAAGGACAGTGCAGTAAGAGGTTGTGCGGACCGGCAGCGCGGCAGGTGTGCGGGTCGAGGAGCTCTGAGCTGACCCGCTTCCTTCCCCCTCCTTGCCCTCGGTCTCGCAGCGGCGCCAACTACGTGCGTCCTCCTCCCGCTCGTCCTTCCACATGGCAGTCTCTGACACTCTTCGATCCCATCCCCGTCGCCCCCTCCCTCGCGTCCTCTCGCCCACCTCCCCGAACCGCTCGACTCGACCACCGGCAGCCGTCGGGCTACACGGACGCGCAAGACCACGGCATCGTCGGCAACCTGCGCACCTGCGCCCTCGTGTCCATCTCGGGCACCGTCGCCCAGCTGTGCCTCCCGCACTTTGACTCGCCGTCCGTGTTCGCGCGCATCCTCGACAAAGACAAGGGCGGCCACTTTTCGATCCGCACCGTCAATGCGACGTCGACCAAGCAGCAGTACCTCCCGAGCACGAGTGCGTCCAGCTCTCTCGATCTCTGCCGCGGCGGACGAGGCGGCGGACTATGGACTGAACCTGCGACCGTGCGCGCGCAGACATTCTCGCGACCAAGTTCTTGTCGGACGAGGGCGTCGGCCAGATCGACGGTGCGTCCCCAGCTCTCTGCGTCGAGCGCGACGGAAGAGATCTTTGTCGAGGCCGAGTTGGCGGGTCGAAGTCGGCGTTGTCGAGCCGCTCAAACTGACCTCGACCTCTCTCGCACACAGACTACATGCCGCTTCCGGCCAACAAGTCGGACAAGTCGTTCCTGCCCTGGCTCGTGCGCCACGTGACGACGATCCGCGGCAAGCTCACGTTCACGATGGAGTGCGCGCCGGCGTTCGACTATGCGCGCGCGAGCCACGAGACGACGATCAGCAACGACGACAAGCGCGCCGACTTTGTGTGCCCGCAACACGTCGACCTCGACCTGCGGTGGGTCGTCAGCAACGGGTCGCACCCCAAGGACGGCCTCAAGGAGCCCGAGATCGAGCTCGACTACCTCGACCTGTCGGAGCGCGGCCACAAGGGGTGCGTGCGCACCCGCCCTCTCGAGCCCACGAACGCCCTGTCACTGACAGCCTCTTGCCCTCGTCGCGCACAGCCTCGGCGTCACGGCCAAGTTCACGCTCGAGGAGGGCCAGAGCGTCACGTTCGTCCTGCGCGAGCCGCCCAAGAGCGGGTCGACCTCGGGCACGGGCCGGACCAACGACGGTGCGCTCCCTCTCTCTCTCTCTCTCCTCCCCCTCCCACTCCTCGGCAGGAGCTCGACGACGACGATGAACTGACGCCTTGCGCCGGCACAGCCGTCCCCGACTGCTCGGCGTGCGACTCGGGCGAGACGCAGCCCGTCTCGTCCGAGGACCCGCCCCTGAGCCAGGCCCTCATCGAGCACCTGTACCACGACACGACGGCCTACTGGCTTTCGTGGCTCAAGCGCTGCACGTACAAGGGCCGCTGGCGCGAGGTCGTGCAGCGCGCGGCGCTCGCCCTCAAGCTCCTCACGTTCGCGCCGACGGGCGCCATCGTCGCTGCGGCAACCTTCAGCGTGCGTCCCTCGCTCTCCTCTTCCTGCGCGTGAACAAGGAGGACGGCACTGACTGCGTCCTCGCGCCCTCTTCCCCTTCCTCGTCCCGTCCTCCCCTTCCCCTCTTCCCTCTCTTCCACCTCCTCGACGCCCCGTCTCGCAGATCCCCGAGGACCTCAACGGCGCCGGCAGGAACTGGGACTACCGCTACGCGTGGATCCGCGACGCGTCCTTCACGGTCTACGCCCTCTTGCGCCTCGGCTTCACCGAAGAGGCGGATCAGTACGTCGACTGGTTGAGCGGCCTTCTGCGCGCTCGCGCCAAGGGCGAGGGCCTCCAGATCATGTGCGTCGTCCTTTTCCCATAATTTCCTGCGGCTGGCGAGGGGGCGCAACCGCCGTCGCCGCCGCCGTCGTCGACGACGACCCGTCTCGACCCACGCCCGCCGCCTTTCTCTGCCGTTTCAGTTTACTGACGGCTTGCCTCCCTCCCTTTTCTCTTCTCCCCTCCTACCTTACGCCGTCTGCAGGTACACCATCCACGGCGGCAAGGACATCCCCGAGCTCGAGCTCACGCACCTCGACGGCCACAAGGGCCAAAAGCCCGTCCGCATCGGCAACGGCGCCGCGGACCACCTCCAGCTCGACATCTACGGTGCGTCTCTCTTCTCCTCGATGTCCTGGCAGCTGTAGAGGCCGAGAGGGCGTCGTCACTTACCTTCCCTACCCGCAGGCGAGCTCCTCGACGCCGTCTACCTCGCGCAGAAGATGAGCCGACCTCGTGCGTCCACCTTTCCCTTCTCCTTCCCCTAGCATTCTCGAGCCAGAAGAGCTCACAGCCCTGGCGACCTCCCGCAGTTGCCTACGACGACTGGGTCCTCGTGCGCGACCTCGTCGACTACGTGTGCGACGTGTGGGACCAGCCCGACCTGTCGATCTGGGAGGTCCGCGGCGAGAAGCAGAACTTCCTGTACAGCAAGATCATGTGCTGGGTCGCGCTCGACCGCGGCCTGCGCCTCGCCGACAAGCGCTCGCTCCCGGCGCCGAACCGCAACAAGTGGCTCGAGAACCGCGACCGCTTGTACGACGAGATCCAGGAGCGCGGCTTCAACAAGGAGCTCGGGCACTTTGGCCAGTCGTACGAGCGCAACGACGTGCTCGACGCGGCCGTCCTCATCGCGCCGCTCGTCTTTTTCACGACGGCCAACGACCCGAGGTTCCAGGGCACGCTCAAGGCGCTCATGCGCCCCAAGGACCGCGGCGGCCTGTTTGAGAACAACCTCGTGTACCGCTACGACACGGACAAGGTCGACGACGGCACCGGCGGTGGCGAGGAGGGCAGGTGCGTCCTCGTCCACTCTCCCTTCTCAGTCGCGTCTGGGTCTGACTCTCCCTCTCGCCCCTCGCCCGCAGCTTCTCCATGTGCGCCTTCTCTCTCTCTACATCTTTTTCGCCCTGTCGCCGACGACGCTCCTTTCCTTGCGCTCAGGTGCACCCTCTGGCTCGTCGAGGCGCTCGCTCGCGCCGGCCAGTTCAACCCGCCGCAGCTCTCGCAGGCGGTCACCATCCTCGAGGACTTTATCGGTGCGCCCCCTTTGACTTCGAACCCTCTTGTCGTCGAAACTGACTCTCGCGTGCGCCGACAGGGTACACGAACCACCTCGGTCTCCTCAGCGAGGAGATCTCCAAGGGTGCGTCTCTCGAGTTCTCCTTTGCCTCTGTCCTTGAGCAGACACTGACGCAGTCTTCCTACCGCTCCCGCAGGTGGAGAGTCTCTTGGTGCGTCGCGCACTCTCTCGCCGTCTCTCTCGCTGCCCGGGGCAGCCCTGACCCTCCTCCTTCCGCAGGCAACACGCCCCAGGCCTTCTCGCTCGTCTCGCTCATCTCGACATGCTTCAACGTCGACAAAGCGAGTCAGGGCAAGAACGTCGGCCTCGCCGAGTAAGCAGGAGGAGGAGGACGTCGTCGTCGTCGTTGGGCAGGCGGGACCTTCTCAAGTGGCCGTCTCCCTCGTCGCGGCGAGCGCGTGGCTTTCTGTCGGAACGGCATTGTACAGACTTGCTTAGACGTGAAATCAATGCATCTCACTCACTCTCAGGGCGGCCGGACGACGGCGAGAACGAGAATTTGACTGCAATACCGACGCTCGAACCTGCGCGCTCCTCCCTGGCCGCGCCGACGCCCTCCCCCGACCGTGTCCTCCAGTCGAAACCTCAGTCTCGTGCGCGCGCCCCCGATCGACTGCTCGCCCTGCTGACCCGCCGCCCAAGGCTGGCCTCGCCGACGCTGCCCTGCCGCACGGCCGATTGCGCCGACCGACTCGGGCTCGCGTGCACGAATGGCTTCTCGTCCTCATCACTCGACGAGCTGACGGCGCTGCTCTCTGCGCCGGGTCCGCCGACTCGGGCGTAGGTACGGCGAGAAGGGCGGGCGAGCGAGTTGGCGACGGGACGGGGAGCGGCGCCGCCTAAGGCTGCGGCGGGAGGGGCTGTGACGACGAGCTGTTGAGCCTGTTGCAGCGGGAGAGACGTGTCAGTTAGGCGAGTCGCCGGCGTCGAGCTGAGGCGGTGCGCCAGAGGCAGGACGCACAGGAGGACCGGCGCTCGAGCCACCGGACTTGCTCTTGCCGCCGAGAGCGATCGCGACGATGGCGATGATGGCGACAATGACCGCGACGCCGGCGCCGATGAGGCTGTATAGAGAGAGAGAGAGGGCAGGGTCAGTACCGCCAACACGAGAGGGCGACGGCGAGGAGAGGAAAAGGGACCGTGCGCACATCCACTTGTTTTCCGACATCCACGCGCCCGTGTCGGCCATCGTGATCGACACGCTGTTCGTGTTCGAGCTCTCGTTGCTCGAGTCGACGCTCGCGCCCGAGTCGGCGTCGGCGCCGGCCGTGTTGTTAAGATTGAGCGTCGAGCCGTCGGCGGCCGTCGTGGTCAAGGTGGACGTCGCCGGCGCAGCGGACGACATGGCGGCGGTGTCGGGCTTGGACGTCGTCTTGGCGTTGCTGTCGGGCTCGTGCGTCTTGGCCGAATCGTCGCCCTTGGTCTGCGCCGGGTCCGCTTCATCGTCGGGGCTCGCCTCCTTGGTCTTGCTCACGGCGACGCTGCGTGCGAGGAACAAAGCGTGAGTGCCGCTCGAGCGCAAAGGGAGACTGAGCGAGGACTGACCTGGTCGGCTTGGCTTGGGTGACGACGCTAGTGACGGGCACGCCCTGAAGCGTCTGCACGACGGTCGACTGCTCGTAGACGGTCGACTGAATGATTTGGACCTCGGTCGCGAGCTGCAGCTCGTACGCCGTCGTCGTGAGCGTCACTGCGACGGTCTGTAGATCGACATGGGTGCGTCAGGACGTCGGCGTGCGTGTGAACCGTAAGAGAGCGGCAAAAAGGTTCCGGCGCACCTGGCCGTCGGTCACGGTCGTCTTGACGATCTCGGTGGCGCTGTCGCGGGAGAGAGAACAGGTCAAGATGACACCGAGAGAGTGCGTCGGACGAGAAAGAGACGGACACGGCAGTTTGAGTCTGCGGAGAGGGATGCGCACGAGCCTGTCAGTGAGGGTCCCGAGGCGAGAGGAACACGTCCACCCGACGCACCACGACGGTCGTCACCTCCTTCTCGACCGTTGAAGCGACCGCAGAAGACGTCTCGTCGCCGTCGTCGAGCGTGACCGGGACGTAGACGCTGCGTGGGCGACGAGGTCAGTGTGAATCTTCGAGAGGACACGACAAGGACGAGCCGCACGTCGTCGGGACCGCCGTGCGCACGACCGTCTTGACCGTCGTGACCTGTAGGGAGAAAGGAAACGGTCAGTGCGTCCCTCCTCGACAGGGTCCGCTCGTCGTTCTGCTCCTCACCTGGCCGACATTGACGATCCTGCGCGCGCTCGGCCGAGTCAGCTCGTCGTTCTGCGGTGCATAGGACAGCGAGAGAGGGACGCACACGTCTCGCTCGTCGAAAGCGCGTCGACTCGGCGCGGCGGTCCGTCTTGCGGCGGGAGCAGCGGCGGCGAGGCGGAAGAGGAGGGCGACGAGCGCAGATTGCGCGAGGCGGACCCGCATGGCGATGGCTGAGTTGGGCGAGCGGCGCGTAGCGAGTACTGGGGCCGAAGTGGCGAGACGAGCCGCAGCTGGAGCCGAGGAGGCGAGATGCAGCGCCGAAGCGAGATTCGGGAGGCGCGAGGGCGCGAGAAGCAGGGCCGGACTTTCCGAGCGAGCTGGCAATCAGGCTCGAGGCAAACAGGAGACGGCGCTCGCCGACGCCGACGGACGCCTCGGTCGCGTGCGCGGACACGAGGTCGACCCGCGGGAGCAGGGGCTCGAGCGCCGAGGACCCGACTTTGCCGATCAAGCGTTGAGCGCGACGAGGCCAGCGCAGAGGACGCACAGCGCAAAGGGGTGACGATAACAGACAACAGAAGAAAGACGAAAAGGCCGGACCCCCTCCCCCTCCTCGCCGACGAGCGACCCGAACTCGCCGCCGCGACCCGCCTCACCAGCCAAACCGGGTGCGGATCTCCTGCACGAGGGCGCGGATGTCCTGCGACGCGAGGTACGCGTCGACGATGTCGCCAATGTCCTCGGACGAGTCGAGGAGCTGTGCGGCGGCGAAATGAAGGCGAGGGTCAGGCTGCGCTCGAGGTCGACCAGGCACGAGAGGAGAGAGAGAGCCAGCGACGCACCTTTGCGCCCGTCATCCTGCCCGTCTTGGCGTCGAGCTGCACGCTCATGCGCCGCACCTCGCTCGGCTCGGCGTCGGGCGCGCCGTACTCGAACACGAGCTCGCTCGCGGGCGAGCCGACGGCGTACGCGTTGTGGATCCCGAGGAGCGACTTGTACAGCGCCGCCGTCGTGTCGAGCCTGTGCGCGCGTCGTCGAAGAATCAGTCGAGCTGCTCGTGCTGGCGAGAAGGAGGAAGAGGGAGGGGACGCACCACTCGCAGCCCTCCTCGGCGCGGACGTCCTGCACGCCCTTTGCGTCGCGCTCGTCCTGCTCTCGGCGCAGCTGCTTGGCCGTCTGGGCGTAGCGCTCAATGTTGATCTTACTCGCCTTGATGCGCGGCTTGAGGGCGCGCATGGCGTCCTCGCACTGCTTGGTCTGCTGCCCAATCTCGACGAGCTCGAGCTCTTGCCGGTCGCAGATGGCCGCCGCCTCGTCGACCGTGAGGCGCTGTTAAGTACGAGGGTGTCAGTGTCGAGCGCTTGTGCGGCGAGGAGGGACTGAGGACGCACCTCGGTCGCCGTGCGCTTGTTCTTGAGCATGGCAATCTCGGTCTCCATGGCCTCGCACTCGCGCAAGAGGCGCGCCGCGTGCTCGGCCTCGGCGTTGCGGCGGTTCGCCTCTGTGATCGGGGCGCGAGAGGTAAGCCGACGCTGCGGGAGGATCGAGAGATGGATAGAGGCGGGGGGCGCACCTTGCTCGACCTGCTCTGCCTCGGCGCGAATGAGGACCTCGAGCTCGGCGGCGCGCTCCTTGTGCTGCTTGAGCGCCGCCTTGGCCTCGGTGCGCTTCTTGGCTGTTCACGCGACGGTCTCGAAAGCGAGTCAGCTCGAGGTGTCGAGGTATTGCCCGCAGGCGAGGAGGAGAGCGTGCGACGCACCGACTTCGTCGTTCGCCTCCTTCGAGATGGGCTTGTGGCCGTCAGGCGCGAGGATGTGGTTGATGAACTCGAGCTTGGCGTTCGACTCGAGGTAGGCAAACTTGAGCATCGAGACGTGGTCCTGCAGCGGAGGAGGTGTGTGAGCCACGGTTCTTCATCGGAACGCGCCGCACGCCGCGCGAAGGCGGCATGCACGAGAGAGGCGAGGAGCAACTGGGGGCGCACCTTGAACACCTTGAGGTCCTCGTCGATGCGCTGCTGGTCCATCGCGTCGACGACCAAGCCCGCCTCGTTGATCTGGCCCGTCGCGTCCCCCCTCTGCGTCCACCGCGTCACGTTGTCCGTGTGCGCCTGCCCCTGCTGCCCATGCTGCCCCTGCTGCTGCCCCTGCTGCGCGCGCCCTCGCACCTGGACGCCCTCGACGAGCTTGGTCGACGCGAGTGTTTGCTGATGGTACGTCGAGAGGAGCCTGGGGGAAGAGGGGTGTCAGCTCGCTCGTGGTGGTGCGTCGCAGGGGTTGGAGATGGACGCACGCGTTGGTGCGGTCGAACAGGGCCGCGCTCGAGTCGGTGGCTGCCATCGTGGCCAGAGTCGAGACGAGGGACAAGTCGAAACCCCGCTCTGCTCGGCAGAATCTCGCTCAACGAGGCACGTGACCCGACAGTCGTCTCTCGCTCTCGTCGGCGCGACATGCTTCAATACACGCTCGTCCGTCCTGCTCGAGCCTCTACTCTCGAAGAAGCGCGCCAAAGCTGCCGCTTCTCGGGAAGCCAGCGCTCCCTCCTCTCGGACCAGCTTTCGACTCGAGCCTCGCCCGCTCTCGCTCTCGCAGACGCTCCCGGACCCGGCCGTCGAGCCGACAGAGACGCCCTCGAGCCGTGCCGAGGCCCCGCCTCCCTCGCGCCAAACCGAGCGGGCGCGCGCGACGTCGGCAAAGGCGCCCGAGCCGCACGCCGAGCGCTCGCCGAGCGCGGACGTGCGCCGAGCGACGCCGGCTCCAGCGGCGTTGCCGTGCGCGTCTCGTCGAGGTCGCACGAGCGCTTGGACGGTCGGCGAGGTCGCAGGGCGAGGATGAGCGAGGAAGAAGGTGGACCGTGGTTGCAAGCTACAGGGAGTACAGGGGCGAGCTTCCGGACACAAGGAGGGTCAGGCGGCCGCGCTTGAGACGAGGAGAAGGAGGAGGAGGACGCACGAGATGGAACCGGAACAGCTGGCGCCTCAGGGCTGTGCGGCGCTCGCCCCGCTCGGCGCCGCCGCTGTCGCCGCCGTGGCCGCCTCAGCCTTTGCCGCCTCGACCCGGTTCCTCTCTGCGCGCCGCTCACTCTGGTAGTACAGCGATCCTCCTGTAGCCCGGGGCAGAGAGGAACGTCAGAGCGAGACGAGACGAGGCGAGAAAGAGAGAGAGAGGGTGTGCGCACCGAGTGCTGCGATGACGGTAACGCCCTGGGCGGCAACGCGCAGGCGGAGCATCTTGTTGAACTGGTTGCGGTTGCCCTTCTGGAGGGCCGAGCTGGCACCGAGGAGGGCGGCGACGGTCGCGAAGCAGCCTGCGAGGATCGGGGGGTGAGCGGGTGGGCGAGGCGACGAGAAGGGGGCAGAGGGGGGCGCACCTAGTGGGACGAGCGGCTCCTCCTTGAACTTGTGGATGAACTTGTCCCACTTGGTCTGGGCCGGCCCGGTTGGTGGAGGAGCGGCCTGCCAGGCGTTCGGGTCGTCGACGACAGGGTCGGGCGTGTATTGCCGGGGCATGGTGGCTGGGTCGAAGGAGACGAGTCGAGATCGGACTGGTGCGGTAGCGGGCGGAACCAGACGAGGCGAGAGGCGAAAGTGGGGGAACCGTTCGAGAGTGAGTGAGGGGAGGGAGAAAGAGGCGGTGCTGCTGTCGGCGAGCGGGTCAGCCTCTGCACAAGGGGCGGCTTTGACAGGCTCAAATCGGGCATAGTGGGTTCTGCGCGTATGGCTGTCCGGTCAGAATGCTCACCCGAGCTTTGTGTAGTCGAGGGAGAACCGCGCTCTCATCCTCGTCGAGCTCGCCTCTGCTCGGCGCTCGCCTCGAGCCGGCTCTCGCTCCACCCCACCCACACCGCTACCTTCACCAGCACACCATGCCTCCCAAGCGCGGACAGAAGGGCTCGAAGCAGTCGTCCAAGGCTCCATCCAAGGCCGCCTCCAAGGCTCCCTCGGGCGCCAACACGCCTCGCGCTCCCACCGAGCCGCAGACGCCCGTCAAGCAGGCCCCGGGCCTCCTGGGCCTCAACTTTGGCCAGAGCTTCTCCAGCGTCGCCATCATCGACAAGGTGCGCCCCCTCGCCCTCCTCCCTCGAGAGCTAAACTGACCCCCTCGCCTCCCGCAGGAGGGCCTCGCCGACTGCATCGCCAACGACGACGGTGAGCGCCAGATCGCCTCGGCCCTGTCGTTCAGCGGCACCGAGGAGTACTACGGCGTCCCGGCCCGTGTCCAGCTCGTGCGCAACCCCAAGAACACCATCCTCGCCTTCCGCAACCTCCTCGGCAAGACGTAAGTCTCGCAGCGCCACCGCTTTCCTCTCCTAGTCGTCAAGCACACGGGCACTGACTGTCTCGGTCACGCGACCGCGCCGCCCGCAGCTTTGCCGAGGTCAAGGACGTCAAGCAGCCGTGCAACTCGGCGCCCATCGTCGACAAGGACGGCCAGCCGGCCTTCACCGTCGAGATCAACGGCGCCGCGACGACCCTGACGGCACACGACTGCGCCGTCCGCTTCCTGCGCGTCCTCCTGTCGTACGCGACCGACTTCCTCGGCCGCCCCATCTCGGACGCTGTCCTCACCGTCCCGTCCGACTTCTCGGCCGCCCAGACCGACGCCCTCGTCGCCGCCGCGACCGAGGCCGGCGTCACGGTCGTCCAGACGGTGCCCGAGGCGGCCGCCGCCCTGACGGCCTACGCCGCGACCGAGGTCGCCGACGCCGGCGCCGACAAGCTCGCGATCGACCGCAACGCCGTCGTGCTCGACGTCGGCGCCACGTCGACGACGGCGACCGTGGTCGCGATCCGCGACGGCCTGTTCCACCCGCTCGCGTCCGTGTCGGACCGCGAGCTCGGCGGCGACCTGTTTGACCAGAAGCTCATGGACTGGTTCGCCAAGGAGTTTACCAAGAAGACCAAGACGCCGCTCGAGCAGTCGAACCACCGCGCCCAGATGAAGCTGCGCCTCGCCGTCGAGGTGACCAAGAAGTCGCTGTCGGCGTCGACGACGGCGCCGTGCTCGGTCGAGTCGCTCGCCGAGGGCCTCGACTTCCACGGCACGGTGAACCGCATGCGGTTCGACCTCCTCGCCGCGTCCGTGTACGCGCGCATCGTCGCCCAGGTCGAGAAGGCGCTCGCCCAGGCCGAGCTCGACCCGCTCGACGTGACCGAGCTCGTCCTCGTCGGCGGCACGACCAAGCTCCCGACGCTCGCCAACAAGGTCCTCGACGTCCTCCGCAACGACGCGACCGTCGTCTCGAGCCAGATCGAGCCCGACGAGGTCCTCAGCAAGGGCTCGGCCCTCCAGGCCCAGTCGCTCCGCGCCGCGTTCCCCGCCGACGCGCCCAACAGCGCCGAGCTCGTCAAGCGCTCGACGACCGACAGCGCCGTCGTCGCGCCCGAGGCCCTCGCGCGCCCGCTCGGCTTTGTCCTCGAGCCCGAGCTGTCTGGCACGCCCGCCGACCTCGCGTTCGTCACGCTCGTCGACGCCCACACGCCGCTCCCCGCACGGCGCATCGTCGACGTCCCGCTCGAGTCCGACACGGTCAAGGAGGTCGTCGTCGCGCTGTGGGAGGGCGAGCACTTTGTCAAGGTGACGCCGGCCCTCACCAAGGTCGAGGCGGCAAAGGGTGCCGTCGCCGGCGCCGTCGGGTCCTTCATGGCCGCCGCCAAGAACGCGGTCGGGGCCGGCCCCGCCGAGGACGACGTGTCGGACGACGAGGACGAGGACGAGGACATTCGCACGCCCGAGGTGCGCGCGACCAAGGCCATTGCCGACCTCGTCGTGCCCGTCGACGGGAGCAAGAAGGGTTCGCACGTGCGCCTCACTATCGTCGTCGACAAGGGCGGCAAGGGCCACCTCGAGGCGCACCAGCTCGTCGACGGCGCAAAGAGCGTCACCAAGGACTTCTAGATCTTGGTCCTGCACTCGAAAAAAAGCCCCTCGTACACTCGGGCCGTCGTTCCCTCTTGTTCTCGCTCGCGTCGGAAGCTCGGTAGACGGACGAGGCGTATCCTTCCCTCTCTCCCTCTCTCTCTCTCTTTCTCTCTCGTTGTCTCTCCCGCATTGTCCCTCTGTCCCTGTCCTCCTGCAAGAGCAACCTCTTCCCGCCTCTCGAGCCGTTGTCTCTCGAAAGCGACCGCGCGAGAGAGAGACTCACAGAGAGAGTGAGAGCGCGAGAGATGCAGCTACAAGGTACACTACAAGGTCCGAGCGACGCGCACTGCGTCGCTCGCCGCGCCGACCCACACACGCACACCCGCACGCTCAGCGCATCGGGCTCGCCATGAGGCCCCCTCCCCCTCCTCCTCCTCCTCCCGCCTCCTGCCCATGTCCCGCCGCCTGCTGCGCCGCATACGCCGCCACCTGCTGCGCGTACGTCTGCCCGCCCTGCGCCTGCGCCTGAGCGTGCGGCGGCGGAAAGTGCGTCGCGGCTGCTGGACCCGTCAGGCCGAACGGGTTCAGGAGCGGGTTGGGCGCCTGCGCTGACGAGGACGAGGCGAGGACGGGAGAGGTGGTGGCCGAGGAGGACGAGGGCGGGTGGAAGTACGAGTGACGGAGGGCGGCTTTTGCTGACACGACGGAACGGGGTCGGGAGGGAGCGAGGCGGACGAGTCGAGTCGAGTCGGGAGGGAAAAGAGGGTCAGGAAGGTTCGAGCGCGAAAGGGAGAGGGAGAGAGAGGGAAAGAGAGAGGGCAAAGGCGGGACGGGACGACGCACCGCTGATGCGCCGCTCGGGGTCGATCTGGAGCATGCCGTTGAGGAGCGCGAGCGCGCGGTCGTCCATCTCGGGGAGCGCCCTGCGCAGGTCGGTCGCGCGCCACTGCGGGAACGACGCCTTGTAGTCGGGCATGTGGACGAGCCCGGGCCAGGTCGACTCGGTCGGGGTGCCCATGAGCCTGCGTGCGCGCGCGAGGCCGACAACGTCAGTGAGTTCCGCCTTGCCCGAGGAGAGAGTGAGAGGGAGAGGGAGAGGGGGGAGAGCGAGAGAGAGGGGGTAGGAGGGAGGGGGCAGAGAGAGAGGGAGTAGCGAGGGAGAGAGAGAGAGAGAGAGGGGCGAGCACGCACCGGAAGATGCGAAAGATCTGGTCAATCTCGCTGTCGCCGGGCACGAGCGGCAACCCGCTCGCCATCTCGGCAAAGATGGTCGCGCACGACCACACGTCGACCTGCAAGCGCGCGCAAGACACCGTTAGGGCTCGATTCTGTTGCCCGTGGTGCGTGGGGAGAGAGAGAGGAAGGGAGAGAGAGCGGGAGAGAGAGCGGGAGAGAGAGCGGGAGAGAGAAGGAGAGACAAGAGGGAAAGGCGGACGCACAGCCGTCGTGTAGTGCCGGCCGCCGAGGAGCACCTCGAGCGGGCGGTACCACAGCGTGATGATCTGTCGGCGAGGGCGAGGGCGACGGCGAGAGGCAGTGAGTGAGCGCCCTGGACGACACCGAGACGTCGAGAGAGAGAGAGAGGATCAGGCGGGCGCACCTCGTGCGTGTAGGTGCGCAAAGGCACGCCAAACGCCCTCGCGAGCCCAAAGTCGGCAATATGCGCGCACCCGCCTCGTCAGAGTCGGGCTGACGAGGCGGGCTCGCCTATCCGGAGCGCGACGAGCGCCGACCGAGAGAAAGAGAGAGGGAGAGAGACAGAGAGAGAGAGCGAGCGAGAGGTGGCGCGCGCACCTTGAGGTTGCCCTCCTTGTCGATGAGGAGGTTCTGCGGCTTGAGGTCGCGGTGCAAGATGCGGCGCGAGTGCAGGTGCGCGAGGCCGAGCAGGAGCTGCGACATGAACTTCTGCGGGTCGGGACGGGCGGGCGAGCGTGTGAGCGTGCGTAAGTGGGGGTACGTCGGCCAGAGGAGGTCAGGTGAGGAAGAGAGAAAGAAAGAGAGAGAGAGAGAGAGAGAGAAAGGGAGAGAGGGAGAGAGGGCGAGAGAGAGAGGGAGAGAGAGAGACGCACAGCCACAAGCTCGCTCGGCAGGCCCCTCTTTGCCCTGCCCCTGCCCCTGACATTGTGCGGCAGCCCAACAGGCGGCAGCGGTACGCTCCAGTTGCCGTCGTCGTCGAGCTGTGCGGGCTGGTGGTGGTGGGCATGCGCATTGGCGACGAGCGCGGCGGCGTCCATGTACTTCTTGAGGTCGAGGTCGAGAAACTCGAACACGAGCGAGAGAGAGTCGTCGAGTTGGATGACGTCGAGGAGCCTGGGTGGTGGTGGAGGGACGAAGAGGGGCGAGGAGGGGCGAGGAGGGGCAGGGAGGGGCAGGGAGGGGCAGGGAGGGGCAGGGAGGAGAGGGCGGGCGAGACGAGGAGGAGGAAGGTGGTGGGCGAGGTGAGGGTCAGCACGGGCGCATGACGGACCGACAGACATCGTGCTGCGCCCCTGGAGGGCACCAAGAGCCGTCCACCCGAGCGCGCTCGCCCTCGAGGCTCGCTGCAGCCGAGCGTTCGTGGGCCCGCTCGGACCCTCGCTTTGTTTCCTCCTCGCCCTCCCTCCTCCCCCTCCCCCCGCCCCGGCCCCGTCCCGCCCGCCCAACCCAGAGAGAGGCGAGAACGACCCGCAACGCACTTGACGATGCACTCGGCGCCAGCATGCGTGCTCTGCCCGAGCTCCATGAGGACGCTGACCTCGCGCAGCGCCGTGCTCGGCACGCCCTCGTCCTCGTCCTCGAGCCGGATCTTCTTGAGCGCGACGATCGTGTTGGTTGCGAGCTGTGTGCGGGTGTGTGTGCGGAGAGAGTGGTTAGCCCGGGAGGGAGCGAGGCGAGGGGGAGACGCGAGGCGACGCGTTTGATGAGCGAACGGGTGAGGAGGGGGAGGAAGGAGGGAGGGTTCCGAGAGAGAGAGAGAGAGGGGGGACGGACCTGTCGACACTTGTACACGGTGCCATAAGTGCCTGCAGGTAGGAGGCGAACAAGTCAGGTCACGCCAGTGTGCGTGGGGTGTCGCGCGACCAGGAGGAGCGGAGAGCGCACCCTCGCCAACCTTTTCGAGGCGCTCGTATTTCTCCATGGCCGGGGGGCGTTTGCGGGCGTGTGCGAGCAGAGGGCGGTGGCTGGGCTAGGCGGGCGAGAGACGAGGGAGGGAGGTCGAGGTGGGGATGCGTTGGCGAGGCGCGAGGAGGACGGAGGAGGAGGAGGGGGGAGTGCGAGAACAAGGAGCGACTCGGGGATGAGTGTGTGCGTGTAGCTGGCCGTGCAGCTGTGCAGCAGGCTCTGTGTAGCTGGCTAGCTGGCGGACGAGGTGTGGCTCACTCCGTCTCCCCCTTGCGAACGACGACGCGATCGGCCCCCTCGGCCAACTCTCTCTCCCTCTCTCTAGTTACCTCCCGCCCGCCGCCCACAACCACCACCCACAGCGCACGGCCCAAATGCCTCCTCCGCCACGCGCCGACCCGACCCTCGCGCGCGACGCCCTCGTCGCCGCGTCCCTCGTCGCCCTCGGCTCGCTCCCGCTCGTCACCTCTCTCCAGCCCCTGCGCCTCCAGGCGCGCGACCTCGCGCGCACCGTCGTCCGCGCCGCGCTCGCCGCCGCCCAGGTGTCGGCCATCGTCGTCGTCGGGGGCGCGGTGCTGATCGCGGGCGAGAGGGCGTGGTGGGGGGTCAGGAGGTGGTGGGGCGAGTACGTTGTCGGGAGGGCGATGATGAGAGGGGAGCGAAGCCCGAGGCCACCACCGCCGGCATAGGTGCGACGTGCGACTGCGGCTCGGACCAGACGGGGGGCTCTACACAACTCGCCCTTGCGCCTCTCCTCCCTCGGCGTCCCCTCGCTCGGCCGCCCCGCCTGTCCCTCCTCGCACTGCGCCTCCCTCCTCCTCGACCGCGCACCTCTCCCCACCCGCATCCACCTCCTCCCCATCTCCCTCTTCCACCCTCCCCACCGCCCCTACCGCCGCCGCAGCAGCAGCAGCAACCCTCCTCCTTGCGCTCTTGACCCTCCTCGCCCACTCCCTGAGCGCCCTCTCGCACTGTACGACGCGCGCCGCCGCGTGCGCGCCGGCGACAAAGGCGGACGCGGCGCTGCGCAGGGCGGGCGGCGGGAGCGGGGAGAATTGGGTGAGCGGGGAGCGAGGGGTGGGCGGGCGCGAGGGCGAGGGCGCGAGGGAGGGGGAGGGGGAGGGGGCGTCGAGGGGGGAGGAGGGGGCGTCGAGGGGGGAGGAGGACGAGGGGCGGGGAGCGCGACGGCGCAGGGTGCTCGATGTTGCCGCTGCCGCCGCAGGGTCGGTGTCACTGCCGGGCGCCGCAGCAGGGGCTCGAGCGCGCGTCTCGACGGTCCACCTCACGGCACCCTGCGGCGGGTGCGCCTCGTCGTTGCCCTCCTCCTCGGCCGTCGTCGACGCCGTCGTCGTCGGCTCAAGCGCACTGCAACGAGGGTCCGTGTCAGTACCCACCTCGCGAAGAGAGAGAGAGAGCGCGCGAAAGAGAGAGAGGGGAGCGCACACGCCGAGCTGCGCCGCGTGGTCGCTCAGGTCGTAGCTGCGCGGGCTGACACGCGAGGGCCCGAGGGCGAGCTTGGCGCGCGCGAGGTCGAGATGGGCCTGTCGGTCGCAAGAGACGGGTTAGAGGAGGGAGGTCCAAGTCGAGTCGGGGTCGAGGAGGGAGAGAGGGACAAAGGCGGACGCTCGCGCTTGAGGTGTGCTTCGAGCTGGGCGCGCGCGGACTGGTAGGCGTCGAGTGCGGCGAGGTACGACTCGAGGAGGGCGTCGACGGCGTCGCGCAGGGACGAGAGCGAGCGGGTCATGGGCGCGGCGCGGCGTGGCGCGGCGAGGGGGGCGTGGGTGGTGCGGGTAGGTGGCTGGTCGTGCTGGCGAGTTGATCGAGGCCCAGTCAGGCGGGAGAAGGGGCGAGGTGGTCGAGGACCGAGAGGGAGAGGGAGAGAGGCACCTCCTCGCACGGCAGCCCTCGACCACTCACCCGCTCTCGCCGCCGAGACTGCGTGCGACCCGGCACGGTGCACCGCACCACACCGAGACCCCGACCCACCGCACCCACGGTCCGCCCGCTCGCCCACCGGCGCCAGTCACCTCCCCGGTCCACCACCAAACAGCCCCCCTCTCCCTCTCGCACCGGCACACGCTTCCACCCACGCCACGCCGTGTGCCCTGCGCCCCGCTCGGCAGCGCATGGATTCCCCGTGGTCCATCGCCGCGTCGGGCTCGCGCTCGCCCCCGCCAGGGCCAGGACTCGGAGGCGGGACCGCCGCCTTGGGCCCACCGCCGCCGCACTCGGCGGCAAAGCCCAAGAGGGCCCACCGCGACGAGGGCAGGTCGAGCAGGGAATCGAGGTGCGTCGCGGCTTGCCCTCTCTTTGGGCGGGTGCCTCTCTGTGTGTGTGCGAGGGCCGGCGACTGACTCCCTCCTCCTCCTCCTCCTCCTCCCTCCCCTCGCCAACTCTCCCACTCTCGCGTGACACAGCCGGCCACCACGCCGCCGCCTCTCGCCCTCGCCGCCCCTGCCGCCCCTCGCCAGCACAAGCGCCTCGACCAGCCGGTCGCTCCCTCCTCCTCCTCCTTTCCAATCCTCCACCACCACCGCCAACAACGCGGCCTCCTCCACGACGACCTCGCGCTCCCGCCGCGCGTCGCCGTCCCTCTCGAGTCGCGCACCCGGCCACGGGCCCGGCGCGTACCCGTACCCGTACCCGTACCCGCCTCGCGACCGCGCTCGCTCCCGCCCGCGCTCCCTCTCGCCGCGCTCCTCCTCGTCCCTCCCTCCTCCTCCTCCTCCTCCTCCAACCGCCGCCACCACCGAGCGCGCCCCTCCGCCCTCGACCGCCCCGCAAGCCCAAGCCGGCTCGTCGTCGCTCCTCCCGCAGATGCTCCACGGCCGCAGGGACCAGGGCTGGGGCGACCGCAAGGCGCGCGCGCTCCTCTCCGAGCGCGGCGAGGCGGCGAGGGGCGAGGGGAGGCGTCGCGAGAGGGACAGGGACAGGGAGCGCGAGAGGGACAGGGAGCGCTCGCCGCGAGACCGAGACCGCGACCGCGACCGCTCGCCGCGCGACTACCGCCCTCGCGAGCGCGACCGCGACCGCGCGCCGTCGTCCTCGTCCTCCTCGCGGTGGGACCGCGACCGCGACCGCGACCGGCCGTCGCCCTCGGCGCCCTCGGAGCCCACCGCCTCTTCCTCCTCCACCGCCGCCGCCGCTGTCGGGGCCTCGGGCGCAAGCGCCGACTCGACTAGCGCACCAGGCCCCTCTGGGAGCCCTCGCGCCGCACCCGCATCCGCACCCGTACCCGGACCCGTACGCGCGCGGCCCCTCGCGCTCTCGCTCTCGAGCCGCGGCCCTCCCGCCTTCACCTCCCTGAGCGCCACGCCTGGCCCGGGCGCGACAGTGCACCTGCCGGACCCTGCACGCGGCG